TAAAATTTGCAAGAGTGGGCACCCTTGTCAGTGATCTTAGAGGAAAAAACTTCCAGCTTTTAACCATTTAGAATGATGTTAGCTCCAGGTTTGTCATATACGACCTTAATTATGTTGAGGTATGCTCCTTCTATACCCATGTTTTGAGAGTTTTTATCATGGAAGGATGTTAAATTTTGTCAAATGCTTTTTGCATCTATTGAGATGATGATATGACTTTTGTCCTAATTTTATCAATGTGATCGTGTTAGGAAAAATCTTAGTTCTCCTGCTATGTTTCTCTTTTACTCTCACACTACTACCACACTGACAACACTTCTGACACCAGATGTGTGGGTTTTCCCCACATCAGATAATTCTGTGACACTGGAAGTGTGTCCTACAATTAAACTCAATTCTGACACTAGCTACCTGGAAATACCATCAGATTCCAGCTCAAGGGCTGCCCTCACCCTACTTCAGATGCCAATCACACATCCAGATTTGTCACCGGTGCTTCTGACTAATGGGCTACATAAATCAGAGGTTCCCGTAAGCCACTCCTTGGGTTCAATTACTTTGCTAAAGCAGCTCTCAAAACTCAGACGAACAGTTATTTATGTTTTCCAGTTTATTAAAGGACATAGTAAAGGATACAGATGAACAGCCAGAAGAAGAGATACATAGGGGGAAGTCTGGGAGGGTCCTGAGCACAGAAGCTTCTGTCTCCATGGATTTGGGGTGCCTCATCCTCTCCCTATATGGATGTGTTCACCAACCTAGAAGCACTCCAGAGAGGGGAGAGGAGCTGGCAATGGAGTAATAATTGATCATGAATACATGAGGAAACCTCCATAGAAACCCCAATGGTATGGGGTTCAGAGATCTTCCAGATTTCAGAATTTTCCTTAGGGCTAAGTTTATCTAAAGCTGTTATAGATTCAATAAAGTCATTGTCCTATGTATCACCTAAGCAGCCCTTGCAGAGCAGGTTACTCTAAAAGGAAAGAAACATTTCTGCTAAAGAATAAGTTTTGCATACAAGAAAGAATAAGTATTTCAAGCCTATGGGGGTTTGCCATAATGATTCTCAAATTTGTCTGCATTTTAGAATCACCTGGGTATCTTTTAAAAATTCCAAATATCAGCCCACTCTCCAAAATAATTAAATTACAATTTTTAGGGTTGGTATCAGTATTTTTCAAAAGTTTCATGTGATTCCAATGTGCAGACAAGTTTAGGATCTAGTCTATCTCCCAGGAGCACAAAAGTAATTTTAGGGTTGTTCTTGAAATTTAGGTCTATGCTGGATTACTTGAAGCAAAGTATGCAATTTCTAAGGGGTCTCTTTCAAATTTAAGTCAGGCTTATTTTACTCATCTCAATGTATAGTTCATGGGATGTTTGTGTTATACAAGTTCCTGACAGTCCAATAAGAAAAGGAGGGAAAGAAGGAGAAAGAAGAGAAAACTAAATCATAGGAAAGCAAGATAATTATTAAAAAGCATTTCACTGTCTAGTCCCCAGACTTTAGTCTTGAAGTATCATTTCTTATTAAAAGTAACCGTTACTTTGAACAAGTGGCTGATTGCAGGTCTGGGAAAGGAAGTATACACATGAGCTTGGTGTTTTAAATATTTTTAAGAGAAAAAATACCTTGTAGACATGCATATTAAAATCTTTACACATGAGATATATTGGACTTTGCTTCAAAATAATAAGGGATGGGAGCAGGGGTAGGGATATAGATGAAATAAGATTGTCCATTGTTAAAGCTGGGTGGGTGATGGGTACCTGGGGAGATCATCACATTTTTCTATCTACTCTTGTATATGTTTGAAAATTTCCATAAATAAAATATGAAAGAAGAAGAAAAAGCAAGAAAAAAAAGCAATTCATGAATTATTCCAATTTTCTGTACAATTTAGGCGGGAAACATCAGTACTCCTATTTGGAGAAGAAAAATCTGTTTTTTCAGGAGGAAAAAAAATCAGGAGAAAGAAAAGTTTACAAGTACAATTGCACACTAAACGAACTAAGGTAAATAAAGATCGGGAAATATTTATTTTACTTTTGAGTGTTGTCCTTAGCCCTCAGACATTCCATTACCAATTAGTCCAAGGATTAAAATGTCACAATCTTAAATATTTCTTTTTCTTCCTCCTCTTCCTCCTCCTCTTCCTCCTCCTGCTGCTCTTCCTCCTTCCCTTCCTTCTTCTCCTTTTTTTAGAAAGCAGAACTGGAAACCCCAGAAGAATATGGATTTGTTTTCTCCAGTAGATCAGTATTTTGATTACCATTCTCTCTGTTAAATATTTCTGCTGCTGTAACAATGTCCCTAGGCATTCCTTGGCTTGTGGCAGCATCACGTCCATCTTGGCCTCCAGCTTGCCCTTCCTATGGCCTCCTCCCCTGTGTCTCTCTCTCAAGTCTCCCTGTACTTTTCTCTTACCTCATTATATATCTCCTCTTGAGATCCTTAACTTGATTACATCTGCAAAGACCTTTGCTCCAAATTCACAGGTTCCAGGAATTAGGATACCTTTCTGTGGGGCCACTATTCAACCTACTACATGCACTATGTATATACTTCGGTACATATTTCTTTTTGTTTCTGTCTTGATATTTGTTGTGCTTCTGGAATCTAAGAATACTACATGTCTTTCTTCAATTCTGGAAAGTATTAATTCGTTATCTTTTAGAATGTTTCCTCTCTCTCAACCTCTTTATTCTGTCCTTCTGAATCCTCTACTAGATGTATATTACACCTTATCATTCTGTCTTCTGTGTTCTTTAACATTGCTTCGTACTTTTTATCTATTTCTCTCCATTTTGTTCTGGGTAATTTCTCCCATCTATTTTCTAGTTTTTCTTTCTCCAGTGGAATCTAATCTGCAGTTTAATCTGTCTATTGGGAATTTAATTTTAGTGCTTATATTTTTGTCTTCCAGAACTTTTATTTGGTTCTTCTTAAAATCTGCCTTATGTCACGTTCTTTGCTCATGTTCTGTAGTTGTTTCAGGATTTGATATCTGATAAATCTAATGAATGAGGGCCAACATCTTCTTTTTGTTGTTTTGTTTGAATCTCACTCATATTAACTTATGTCTTTGAGTGCTTTATATTTTTTCTTCATTCTTTTGTATACAGTTAATCTAAATTTGTGGGAATCTCAGGATGAGTCTGGATTTAGAGCAGCCTCCTCCAAGAAAATTTGAATTTGCTTCTGCCATGTACTTCAGAGGTGTTACAAATATGGAACCACTTTAAATGAATTTCTTGGTTTCTATTTTCCTGGCTCATATATTTAGTATAGATTTGAATTCTAAACTTGTGTGGGTAGAGCTATGGCTATAACAAATCAAGAGGCATACTCTTTCATNGTTTAATGAGCATATTGCAGATGTTTATATGCGCCGTCAAATGAACTTTGAGTTCATGCGGAACCCCAATATCGAGCTTGTTTTCGTACCCCAGCTTCTTCAGGTGGTCGTGAATGCTTGAATGATGGCTGTTCAATGTTCCTGCAATCTCTCATGTCATGTAATGTGGGTTTGACTCGATCAGTGCCTTTATTTTGTCATCATCAACCTTGGTGGGCCTCCCTGACCGAGGAGCGTCCTTGCGATCAAAATAACCAGCACGGAATTTTGTGAACCATCGTTGGCATTGACGTTATTGTACAGCATTCTCACTGTAAACTTTATGCAACTTTTCAGAAGCTTGATGCGTGTTCTTCTCTGTATGGAAGTAAAACAGTAAAATATGACAAAAATGCACAGTTTGGTCTTCCATCTTCAACTTGTAAAATCTCCAAAACTCAACCAAATCGCTCAATTTTTTTTTAGAATAAAGTTAGAACTATTAGCTGTCAAATGACATAGCAATAACATAGATGCGAATGACTCTAGTACTTCCAAAAATGAACCAGTGCCATCTGTTGCAAACATGCGTCATGACTTTTCCGACAACCCAATAGTATAGAGGTAAAGACTGAGCTGGTTAGAGGAGATCTAGAAGAAGGTACAGAGAGTGGTTTTCTTTGAAACCTGTATAGACTTATTATGTATTTTGAGATGGGTACTTTTAATGTGGTTTTATTTTATTTTTAACATGTTTTGAATTCCAGGAATGTTGGAGACATTCAACAATAATTACTACAACATGTTTCAGAAATAAAAGATTTTAAAGTACTATCTCTCTATTAGACAGAATATTAATGCTTACAACTAACAATGTAATATAACTAGCAATGTATTATAATAAACAGCTCATCAGATATGGCTCAAACATGAATGAAACATCACTGAAAATTATGGGAATTTCTAAAATTGGTTGCTATGTAAAGTTGGTTATCACATTTACATAATGTGGAAGTCTTTGGTTTAAAACAAGCTAAAATCTCTTGTTTGTGGTAGTATTGTTTTGAGAGGCATTGTTGGATGGTACTGAAGAGCATGAGGTAGGCTGCTTGAATTCAAATTCTGATTCCACTATTCGTTGGCTGTGTAATCTTGGGCAACTTGATCTAAGTCTTTATTTTCCTCATCTGTAAAATAAGGGACAATGACAGTTCCTTGAAGGACAGTTGTGAGGAATAAATGAAATCGTTCATGTCAAAGTGTTGTCATAATGTCTAGTACACAGTAAGCATTTAATAACATTAGTAATTGCTGCTGTGTTAGTAATTCGGCTTCTCTGGGTTTATTTGTATAAATATAACTGGATATCTCTGGTTTTCATGCCATTTGAATTTGAACTTCTCTCCTCCATATACCACAAAAGATAAAGTTAAGAGAATGGATGATCTCCTGTGACTTATTATCTATTAACTGCTTTTTCTAGCCTCTGTACACATATCTGAGTTGGGGCCTATCTATTAGGTATTACACCAGAAATTTACATTAAAGGGATAACTTCAGGTAGGTAAATACAGTTAACTTCAGGTAAGTAAATATAACTACTTAAATCTCCTAAACAGGCATATGATTTCTTCTTTTTCTTTTTTTCTTTTTTGGCAGGAAATCCTTTTGTGCAATTGCTCATTTACACTTGTTCATCAAGGCCTTTGAGTCCTCAAGGGCAGAATTTACCTGTAAACAGAAAGATGGAAACTAAAGAACATTTATTCTGCCAGGTATTTTTTCAAAGCAGTTTCTAAAGATTCCTTCCCTTTAAAAAAAATATATTACTTTACATTAATTCACATCCATAATCAGTAAAATCAATCAGTAATCAGATTCATAGAGTAACATAGTCATAGGATCTTGCTTAATAAGTGAGGTGACTTTTGAGCTCTTTTAGTGGACATACATTGAACTCTCATCCTAGCAACCCCTGTAGGTATCAAGAGATCTGTGGTGTATGATGAGACTATTTTCTGGGATAGGGACTGGGATGATTTTTCAGGAGACCAAAGGATTTAAACCTGCATGAGAGGTTGTAGATAACGTAATTAATGATGTTGGCGTCTAACCAAAAGGTAATATAAATGATACTAAGTTTCTCTAGCCTTCCTATTTGTGATTCAGAGGATGTTCTTATCCATTGGCCAGTATTGTCTCAAATAAAAAACAAATCTGGACTTAGTAAGGAGAAGCTTTATTCAAAAGGATTATTGCAAGGGAGGAAATGGACTATTGAAATAGGAGGAGGGGGCACTATTGCAGTAGAGAAACCGCTGTGACCAAGAGATCTACAAGCATCTCCAGGGCTAGGCCAAAGCGGGGCTTTCTTAACTAGATAGGTGTAAACAAGGCTGGAAGCACTGGATGTGGGGAAGTGGGATGAAAGAGTAGCATGATGGGGTAAACAGATCAGAGAATATTTTACCATGAGGCCAGCCTGTTCTCTGGAGGGGTTGTATGCCGGTTTAGGGTGAGGTGGGCCAAAGCTCAGGGGCCTGTAGGAAGGAGAGTAGGTTAACCAAAGTTTGGTTAATAAACATTTTTTTCTGATTAATCAGTGGGGGACAAAACAGTTCAGCTAATCATTAATGAGGCAAAGAAAGGAAATTTTGAGGGTCTGTGTGTGGCCTTGTCATAGGTAAACAGGTAGGCATTCTTAAGCCTTGTCTAGATTGTATGGGGAAGGGTGGGTTTTTGCTGTAGGCCATGTTCCAGGACACAAAAGGGCGAAGGGATTCTTTTAATATTCACTGTTTTCCAGGAGCACAGGGCTCAGGTATAATTCAGCATTGTCAACTGAGAACCTAACTTTTAAAATTTATTCTTTTAATGGCTCTGATGCCACCATGTAAGACATGTACCTATACTATAATCTAAAAAACAATTTCAGGGCTTCTTGCTAAGTACTGAGGTATGTAATTTATATCATATATGTAAATCGGTTCCATCTTTTTGTAGCTACTGCCTTGTTGCTTGTGCCCTTATAAACTAATTTTGGAGATGAGTTCTTAAAAATTAACAATATTAAAATATCATACCAACTTATTTTCCTTAAGCCCTGTAGTTTATACTTCACAGATGGTTCACCTTTAACCACAGAGTTTTGGAGATTCTTCTTTTTTTTTTTCTGCGTCCTCAAAATTTCCACCCACTATTTGACTGTTTCCATTTATCTGGCCTTTGATAATAGTTTTTTGGGTCTCTTCCCTCACCCCCGTCTTTTTAGATCCCCCTCCTTTTTTTTTTTCATGGTTTCTATTTTGGGTCATTTTCTCAACTTCTCTAGGAATCCTTTAATCATTGGTAAAAAATACATCATCAAAGCAGCAAATCAGATTGCCTTTTTGAAACAAATAGTTAAACGTGTGCCTTTGTTAAGATAAATGTGTGCAGATTCTAGAAGTCACTGAAATAGTTCCCTTAATTTCCATTTCATGTGAAAACAGAGGTTCTCTATAAACTCTCTTGGTACATTGCCTGTGTCATCTGTTCAGGGGTTAAAAACTAATACACGTTTGTTTGTTTTTATTTTTTTAAAGATTTTTTATTGGGGAATTGGGGGGATGGGAACAGTGCTGGGGAATTGGGGGAAGGGGAACAGACAAGTTGCTGTCGTTTTGTTCTTCAATCTAGTTATGGAGGACGTTGCTTCACTGGCCCAAGTTGGCACCATCATTATGCTCTTCCTGGGTGAGGCACATCAGTCACTGGCTTCTGGACGGCCGCTCACTGCGGCTGCTGGCCGCTCACGCTGGCTGCTGGCTACACACGGTAGCCCATGGCAACCCACTGCAACAGGGACTGCAGCCTACGCCGCCGTCGCCGGTGACCCAAGGCAGCCCAGCTCCAGGTTGAGCTGTCGTTCAGCATCTTAGCTGTGGAGGGCAGTGTCACTGGCCCTCATATGTGGGATCCAAACTGGGGCCCTCTGGCATCCCAAGCGAGTTCTTAACCATCGCGCCACTCAGCCGGTCCCAATACACGTTTGATTAACGAGATGCAGTCCAGTTGTTTTAAGCAAACAGACAAATTTCAAGGGAGAACATTTCCAACTTTATTCTTCTTTTGCTAAACACATGTATTGCTTCTAGGCCCTAGTTCCTTTTTTTTTTTCTGGAGGGGGGATGTCTATTTAGAAGCAATATAGCTGCTGCTTCTGCTCCTTCTTCCTCTTCTCCTTCTCCTTCTTCTTCTAATTCTTCTTCTTTTTTAAACAGACTTTATTTTTTAGAGCCATTTTAGATTCACAGCAAAATTTGAGTGGAAAGTATAGAGAGTTCCCATATACTCTTTGCCCCTATACATGCATAGCCTCTCCCACTACCAACATCCTGCACCACAGTGGTACATTTGTTACAACTGATGAACATACATTGACATGTTATTATCACCCAAAGTCCATAGTTTTCAGTAGGATTCACCCTTGGCGTTGTACATTCTATGGGTTTGGACAAATGTGTAATGACATGTTGCCACTATGATAATAACATATGGAAGAGTTTCACTGCTCTAAAAATCCTCTGTGCTCTGCCTGTTCATTTCCCCCAGTCCCTGACAACCACTGATCTTTTTATTGTCTCCATAGTTTTGCCTTTTCCAGAATGTCATATGGTTGACTCATGATATATGTGTGGATGTAGGCTTTATAGATTGGCTTTTTTCACTTAGTAATATGCATTTAAGCTTCTTCCATGTCTTTTCATGGCTTGATAGATAGCTCATTTCTTTTATAGTGCTGAAATAGTATTCTATTGTCTGGATGTGCCACGGTTTGTTTATCAGTGCATCTACTGAAGGACATCTTATTTTTCCCCTAAGTTTTGGCAATTATGAATAAAGCTTCTATAAACACATGTGTTCAGGTTTTTGTATGGACATACGTTTTCAACTCCTTTAGGTAAATACCAAGAAGTGCAATTGCTGAATTGTATGGTAAGAATATGTTTAGTTCTGAAAGAGACTGCCAAATTGTCTTCCAAAGTGGCTGTACCATTTTGCATTCCCACAAGCAAAGAACGAAAGTTCCTCTTGCTCCACATCCTTGCCTGCATTTCGTGTTGTTAGTTTTGGATTTTGGCAATTATAATAGGTGTGTAGTGGTATCCTGATTTTTTAATTTGCAATTCCCTAAATGACATTATGTTGATGTCAGCTTTTCATGTGCTTATTTGCCATCTGTACATCTTCTTTGGTGGTGACAATAAAGATCTTTAGCCCATTTTTTGAGTTCTTTTTTTTATCATTGAGTTTTAAGAGTTCTTTGTATAATTTTGAATATACAAAATAAAAATACTTTGAATATAATCCTTTTTTTTTATATGTCTTTTTTGTAAGTATTTTTGCCTCACATGTGGCTTCTTGGCAGTGTCTTTCGCAGAGCAGGAGTTTTTAATTTTAATGAAATAAAGTTTAATGATGCCTTAAGAACTAGATTCAATAACTAGGTACATTTATGAATACTGTGCATCTTATAGCTGCATAATGCTCTAAGGAAAGTCGGAGGCATTTAGAATATATACCTATTCTGGGCCAATGCACTCATGAATAAACCCTTTTCAACAAAATTCCCTTTGGTGGCACCATTTTTGAGAGAATTTTTATCTAAAGTGAATGATTTGACCCGGGATGTCATATTTTATTTGTATGTACAAAGGGAACATGGCTAACTATTGCTCTTGATTGCTCCCCAGGCAGAAGAAAATACTGATTTAACAGATGATGGCTGTAATTGTTTTGCAACCAACTTGCCATTGAGACATAGTGACAGCACAAAATGCATCAAGTTTTCTAAAATGACAGAGAAGAGAATTTCACCTGAAATTAGGGGTTTGATCCCAGAACACACAAAAAAGTAAGTTAAACTCTTAATTACTTGAATTATACTTTTGCAAGTTCAAGAGAACCAAAAATGTAGCTCGTATGTTCTCATAATGTACTAACTGTAGAGGATCATGTATATTTATTTGGACATTCTTTCAAGAGTGTAGTTTTAATTCTTAGATAGCCATTCTTACACATTTCTCACTTCCCTCTCAGCTATATGAAAGCCTATAAGCTATCATAGCTTCCAGTTATAGGAGAGCAATTATCCATATGTCTGTGTTTGTCTTTTTTCGAGAAATAAAATTGTAATATATTTAATGTGATGATTCATTGTGAAATGATTACACCGTTGAGTTAACTAACATCCATCACCTCACATATCTATTTTTTGGCGAGAATGCTTAAGTTCAACTCTCTCAGCAAATTTCAGCTATACAATACAGCTTTATCAACTATAGCCACCTTGTTACACATCAGACCCTCAGACCTTATTCATCTTATAACTGAAATTTTGTGCCCTTTTACCAGCCTCTCCCTATCCCTGTTTTCCCCACCCTCAGCCCCTGGCAACCATCATTCTACTCTCTGTTTCTATGAGTTTCGCTTTTTCAGATTCCCCATACTAGTGGTATCCTGCAGTACCGTATTTGCCGGCGTATAAGACGACTTTTTGGCCCTGAAAAATATGCCTCCAAGTGGGGGGTCGTCTTATACCCCAGGTACACTTCAGATAGACTGCCCATAGTGCTTGCCCCGTGCCATAGTGGCCTCCCGATGCCCGCCCACTTCATTCCACATACCGTTCAGGCATNTAAATAAAAAAAAATAAAGAGAATGAGGGAAGGGCACTCAGTTGGAACCACCTCTCGTTTTGAGAGCTGTTACTTTCTGCCCTAATAAACTGTCCTTCTACAAACTTAAAAAAAGAGAGAGAATGAGGGAGAGAAATTGGAAAGAGCCAGATGAGATGACTCTTTCAAGGAGTTATGCTATAAAAGAGAAATAAAGTAGAAGCTGACAGGTAAATGGAGTTATGAGGGTTTGAGATGAGGAAAAATAAAGGCATGTTCATATGCTGATAGGAATAATCTAGTAGAGGAGCAATGATTAATCATAAAAAAGGGGAGAACTACTGAAACAATATTCTCAAGTAGGAGAAAGGAGATTGGATTTAGGGCACAAGGGGAGGGTTTGGCCTTAGCTAAGAACAGTACTCATAAAAATAGGAGATATGGTAGAATAATTGGGCATAATTATGCATAAAGTAGGTGAATTGATGTGGTGTGAGAGCTTGTGGAAATCACTGCTTTAGTTTTCTTAGTGAAACAGGAAGCAAGGCAATCAACTGAGAATGTGGATGTGAGAGGAGGCACTCCGGGTTTGAGGATAGAAGTCTTGTTATAAAAGTAATGTAAAACAGTGGAAGAAGTAATAGCCCAGGGGAATCTGATAAGGTTGCCAGAAAGCATCAAGGGCCCCTAGAGTTTAGTGATCATGAATTTAGAGTGAAACCAGTAAGCATGGTTGTGTGTTTTTCTCCAGCCATATTCAATGCAGAAATTCTGGCACTCAGAAAGCAGAGATCTAGATTTACTCTAAGGTTATGATTTAGACAAGAAAGTAAAATGAACTGAAAAGGTGATAATGAAACTGAAGGGAAATACAAGGGAATGGTTCTAACGATTGTGAAACAAACTGAGTAGGTGGGTGAAAAGTAAGGACAAGAGAGGGTGACGACGTTTAAAAACAAACAAACGCATATTGAAGATCCTGGTGGGATCCAACCATTACTGGAGTTGGAGTGAGCCTGAAAGACAGGAATGTGGTGATTGGAGAGTGGGACATATTGAGATAATGAAGTTGAAGTCATTGATAATACAAGATTGAAGCTCTGAAGAAGGGAGGAAGCAACTGAGGAAAAATGAAATTATTGTAGGAGACCAGAGTATTTTAAGGATCATCTACATAAATATTAAAATCACAAGAATTAAGACAGGAGTAATGTTGGAGTAACAGAAAACCAGGGGCTGAAATATGACTGCAACAAGGAGTGGGGTGGGTGGTATAATCTGATGATGTGAGATGCAAAACTGAGTGCTTTTAGGAGTGGGAGAAGAATGGTTTGGAAGCAGCTATGAGAATCAAGAAGGGCATCTATAGCTCTCAATTCTGCCCACCACCCTCCCAAACATACATTTCCTTTCTCATTTTCCCTGATATCTTAGTTGTTACCATCTGATTCACCAAAACTCCCAAAAAGAAGTGAGGAAATTCAAAACCCTCTGATATTGGGTTGTCAGAAGTCATGATGTATTTTGTCTAGTTTCTCAAAGGTCACTTATTTATATAAAGAACAAAGGTCAATCAATGATATATTGCCCGTTTTGTTTGATAACCTTTTGCNTATTTTCCTGGCTCATATATTTAGTATAGATTTGAATTCTAAACTTGTGTGGGTAGAGCTATGGCTATAACAAATCAAGAGGCATACTCTTTCCTCTCTCTCTCTCTCTCTCTCTCTCTCTCTCTCTCTCTCTCTCTCTCTCCAACCTAGAGCTGAGACAAAGACAGATTTTACTCTGCATACTTCTGTTGTGGGATAAGTTTTTGTTTGTTTTATAGGCCACTCTTGCTGAAAACATTGCCTTTTGATGATTTTTGCTGTATGTGGGATGTCAGTACCAATTCCTGTCAATTTTGTGTGGCTCTACATCCTGCGTGGTCTTTAAAAGTCAAGGCTCTAGGTTCTACATAAAATTGAAGACATCTATAATTACAGTCCTCATTTTCTAAAGCGATACTTTTCTCTCTTGCTGTTTGCCACTTTTGAATCATGTTTATACATACAGTGTTAATTTTTATCAATGTTAATTATAATTTTCTCAATCATAAGGGTAATGTAAGCAAAATTGCCTGTAGTATGTAAATAACTGTGTTGGTTGCCCACATTATTTTGCTCAGATAATCAAAGCCTATATATGTAACCTAGAGTCTATTGGTCTTATCTTCACTATACTATATATGTATTTGCCCTGCTTTGTAAAACCCATTTCTGTAAATTGACACAATATTAATAGGAGATTGTCAGTTGCATACTTAAGAAAAATACGGCTTTGCAAAAGAATATTGCATTGTTAATTTAAAATTTTAGTATATGTAAACTAATTTATTACAAAAAGCAATTTTACATCAAAAGCATAGCTAAGCGAGTAGCCTAAGTATGCTTAATTATCTTTTAAGAGGTTCATTGTCCAAGAATACTGGTTTACCAATGTGATCTCTGGTACCAACACTCTTACTTTGGCTCTAGATTGCCTCTTCCTCTGTGAAGCCATCAAGGGAGAAGACGACTAGGAAAGAAAACTCTTTATGTAAAAAATCGCCAAATCAGTACAACGTTCACAAGACTTTATCACCGCTTTGTACAACTTCCTCAATTATTCGGTATTTAAATCATTGTATTCCATTTCTTAAATATTGGATTTAGATTTGGGTTTTTCTTTATCGATTCATCTATCCCTTCCACATAAATTATGCTAAATAGTTTGTGCAAACAAAGAGACTGTGTTCTTAGGATGGTGTAGCGCTAAGAGCACTGTATGTGGAATTAAAAGACTTGGAGCTGACTCATGTGCTAGCTTAGGCTCTTGTTCAATTCTCTGGGCCTCAGTTTCCACATCTGTGTAAGAATCTTGTACTAGATGGACTCTTAAGATTCCTTCCAACGCTAACATTCTATGATTTCAGTTATTTACATGTTATGGGAGTAGATGAATGATCTTTTCAAGATGTTTTTACTGACAGGTTTATGGGACCTGGGAGTCTTTGGCTGTTACAGATATTCTTATTTACCTTATTATAATAACTTTCTGTAAAATTTGCTGTGACTTGAGTTAAGAGTAGGAAAAATTGGACCACAGCCCAAGGATAGTGGATCATAGGTACTACTTACTGACTAGGGTAAATTCTGCTCCATAACGAAACATCTAAAAGAAATAAGGTGGGAATTCTGGGGTGAAGAATGTGTAATTCACTATCACTTGGACAGTTCTTGGGCTATTGATAGGTTTGTTAATATTTTCATGGCAAAATGGCATAAATATTTTGTGTACTTTTTTGCTGCTTTCTAATGTGGCTGTTTCTTTGACAGGAAAAATGAAATGCTTTCTAACCTGTACCAGACAATATATGATGAAGTACCTCAAGAATACATGTACTTGCAAGAATTAAATGGTAATAATAGGCTCTAGAATTTCTTGAATACATTTCCCGATTGTATGTTCTTTAGAAATTGTTTCACTAGTTAGTGTCTCTTTCTTTACTTCTAATGGCTTTTGGTATCAGCTAACATTACATGATGTGGCATTTTGTGAGCAAGCGTAAGTAGATAGTTTAATTCATAAATATCTTTTGTTGACTTGGTAAGGTAGGTGAAATATAACATAAGCTTATTCTAGTTCAAAACTTTTTGGAAAAAACTCTGGATATTATATATGATGAATAAATTTGTAAGCACTGGAGTCATTGATTTTACTGGAACTTAGTTCTTGGTACCTTAATATTAAAGATCATAGCACCCTTCACTTCTTGACACAAATATCTCCCATATCTTAGGCCTCTCCTTTATATTTATCAAGTAATTTGGCAGTTTTTTCTCTCTACCTTAACTTTGGTCAGCATATTAGGCAGTTTTATTGAGATGTAATTGAATACAACACCTTATAAGTTTAAAGTGTACAGCATAATGATTTGCTTTTCATATTTTGTGAAATGATTACCACAATAAGTTTAGTTAACATCCATCTTCTCATATAGATAGAAAAGAAAAAAGAAAAAATTCTTCCTTGTGGTGAGAACTCGTAGAATCTACTCTCAGTAACTTTCAAATATGCCATACAGCAGTGTTAACTATAGTCGTCATATTTTACATTATATCCCAGTACTTATTTATTTTATAACTAGAAGTTTGTACTTTGGATGACATTCATCCAATTCACCCATGCCCCACATCCCACTTCTGGTAGCCACCAATCTGATCTCGTTTTCTATGAGTTTTTTTAGATTTCACATATAAGTGAGATCATATAGTATTTGTCTTTCCTTGTCTGACTTATTTCACTTATTATGCCCTCCAGGTCCATCATGTTGTTGCAAATAGCAGGATTTCCTTTGTTTCTATGGCAGAATAATATTTTATTATATATATATATATATATATATATATATATATATATATATATATATATGCATTTTCTTTATCCACTCATCTGTAGATGGACACTTAGGTTGTGGCTGCACCAATTTGCATTCCCACCAACAGTGCATGGTGTTCCCTTTTCTCTACATCCTTGCCAACACTTATTTCTTATTTTTTGGATAATAGCCATTCTAACAGGTGTGATGTGATACTTTTGCTGTGGTTTGATTTGCATTTCCCTGAAAATGAGTGATGTTGAGCACCTTTTCTTGTACCGGTTGGCCATTCATGTATCTTCTTTAGAAAAAATGTCTGTTCAAGTCCTTTGCCTATTTTTAAATTGGATTATTTGTTATTTTGCTATTGAGTTGTATGAGTGCTTTATATATTTTGGGTATTAACCCTTTATCAGGTATATGATTTGCAAATATATTTTCCCATTCTATATGATGTCTTTTAATTTTGTTGATCATTTCTTTTGCTGTGCAGAATCTTTTTAGTTTAATGTAGTCCCACTTGTTTTCGATTTTGTTGTCTGGGCTTTAGGTGTCATATCCAAAAAATCATTACCAAGACCCACATCAAGTAGCTTTTTGCAAACTATGTTTTTTTCTAGGAGTTTTATGATTTATAATCTTACATTTAAGTCTTTAATCCATTTTGAGTTAATTTTTGTGAGTGGTGTAAGATAAGAGTCTGGTTTCTTTCTTTTACATGTGAATATCCAACTTTCCCAGCACTAGTTATTGAAGAGACTGTCTGTTTTCCATGAGTATTCTTGGCTTCCTTGACAAATATTAGCTGACCATATATACATGGCTTATTGTTGGGCTCCCTATTCTGTTCCACTGGTCTATGTGTCTGTTTTAATGGTAGTACCTTAACATTTTGATGATTATAGCTTTATAATATAGCTTGAAATTAGGAAGTTTGATCCCTGCTACTTTGTTGTTCTTTCTCAGGATTGCTTTGGCTATATGGGGACTTTGTGGTTCCATTTAAATTTTAGGATTTTTTTTTCTAGTTATATAAAAACTGCTATTGGAAGTTTGATAGGGATTGCATTGAATTTATAGATGGCTTTGGGTAGTATGGACATTTAAAAAAATATTAATTCCTTTAATCCATGAACATGAGATACCTTTTCATTTGTTTGTGTGTTCTATTTTTTTTTTCATCAATGTTTTCTGGTTTTCAGTGTAGAGATCTTTCACCTCCTTGGTTAATTTTATTCCTAAGTATTTTATTATTTTGATGCTGTTGTAAATGAAATCAATTTTATGTTTCTTTTTCAGATAATTTGTCGTATTGTATAGAAATGCTACTGATTTTTGTGTGTTAGTTTTGTATCCTTATACTTTATTGGATGTGTTGATTAGATCTAACAGTTTTTTTGTGGAGTCTTTAGGATTTTCTGTATGTAAAATCATGTCATGTGCATGTAGATATATTTCTTCCTTTTCAGTTCTGATGCCTTTCAGAAGTAGAGCTTTGCTGGGTATAGAATTTGTGCTTGACAGTTATTTCTTTCAATATTTTGAATATATCTTCCTATTCTCTCATGGTCTGAAGAGTTTCTGTTGAGAAATCTGTGGTCTTTGGGGATTCCCTTGTTTGTAACTTGTCATTTTCTCTTGCCGTTTTCAAAATTTTTTCTTTGACTTCAGACAGTTTAATTATAAAGTGTCTCAATATAGCTCCATTCAGGTTCAACCTATTTGGTGTTCTTTTGTCCTCATGGGTCTGGATGTCTATTTCTTCTCTCTAGGTTTGGGAAGTTTTCAGCCATTATTGTTTTAAATATACTTTTTCCCTTTTTCTTCTCTTTCTGGAATTCCCATAATATAGATATTGTTTTTCATGAATGTGTCCTATAAATCTGCTTTCTTCACATTTTTTTATTCTTTTTTTCTTTTTCCACCTCTGACTGGACTTTTTCAAATGTCCTTTCTTGTAGGCTATTGATTCTTTCTTCTGCATGGTTGAGTCTGCTTCTAAAGCTCTCTACTGAATTTTTCAGTTCAGTCGTATTTTTCAGTTCTAGGATTTGTTTGTTTGTTTGTTTGTTTTAATTGGGGAATGGGGGGATGGGAACAGTGCGGGGGAATTGGGGGAAGGGGAACAGACAAGTTGCTGTCGTTTTGTTCTTCAGTCTAGTTGTGGAGGACGTTGCTCACTGGCCCAAGTTGGCACCATCATTGCTCTCTTCCCGGGCGAGGCAGATCAGTCACCGGCTTCTGGATGGCTGCTCACTGCGGCTGCTGGCCGCTCACGCTGGCTACTGGCTACACATGGTAGCCCATGGCAACCCACTGCAGCAGGGGCTGCATCCTACACAGTCGCTGGCGACTCACAGCAGCCCAGCTCCAGGTTGAGCTGTTGTTCAGCATCTTAGCTGTGGAAGGCAGTGTCACTGGCCCTCATATGTGGGATCCGAACTGGGGCCCTCTGGCGTCCCAAGCCAGTTCTTAACCATCGCGCCACTCAGCCAGCCCTTTTGTTTTGTTTTGTTTTGGTGTGGGGTGTCTTTTTTTTTGGTTTTGTTTCTATCTTTTTGTTGATCCTCTCATTTTGTTCATACACTGTTTTCCTAATTTTGTTTCGTTGTCTATGTGTTGTTCTTGTAGTTCACTAAACTTCTTTGAGAGGGTTATTCTGAATTCTTGATCTGACAGTTCATAGATCTCCATTTCTTTAGGGCCAGTTATTGGAGCTTTATGAGTTTCATTTGGTGGTGTCATGTTTATCTGATTTTTTGTGATCCTTGATTCCTTACATTGGTGTCTATGCATTTGAGTAAGTGGTCTCCCCCAGATTTTACAGGTTTTGCTTTAGCAGAGACAGTCTTTTGCTGGTCAGCTTAGTTTCTGTTCCTGGATGTACCAACTGGTAATGTCCTTGGGAAGGTGGGACTTTGTATCAGGGTCTATTTTTGGTGAGGCCACTGCCTGTGTACTGAGATTTTGGGTACAGGGTAACATTGGATGAAAACAATTGGATAGGACTGCTGGTTTGGCTCAATGTCTAAGTGAGGCTGTAAGATGGGTTCTAGGTTGCCTGGGTTCTCTGGTCAGGCTTCTCAGATAGTCGAGACTGGGTACTATATTCAACAGTAGGTGGGACTATAAATTAGCTTCCCTGCCTTGGCAGGGCAGCAGAATGAATCACAGTTCTACCTCTGCACATAGTAGGGCCACTGGTCAGATTCTCCACTCAAGGGCCACTGTAATCAAAGTTGCAAGATGGGCTATGCAGATTCCTAGGTGTTCTGTTTAGGTTTCCTGGTCAGGTTGGGCTGGATGCTGTATTTGGGTGGGGCTATACATTACCTTCCCTGTCCAGTTAGGCTGCAGAACAGGCCCCAGGGCTGGCAAGGTTCTTCGGGGATCAAATCAGATATAACTGCGCATTAAGCTCCTTAGACAGGCCCATTGTCTTGGCTCTGCATATGCAGAGCTGCCGGTTGGGTTCTCTGCTTAAGTGCCACTGTAACTGAGGCTATAAGGTGGGCAGCCGAGATTCTCAGGAGCTCTGGTCCAATTTCCTAGTTAGCAGGGTTGGAGGCTGCATTTAGCAGTGAGCAGGGCTATGTATTAGCTTCTCTGCCTGGGGTTGGGGGGTGGTGAAGTCCAAGCCCCAAGGCTGACAAGACTCCTGTTGGGGGAACTAAGCAGGCAGACCTGTGCATCAAGCTCTCTGGCCAGATGGGGTTGCTGGCTTGTCTCATTTTAGAGTGCTACTGGGCCAAGCCATTTCCCAGGTACCCAGGTCAGGCAGGGCTGGAAGCTATCCTCAGCAATGGGCAAGGCTATGAATTAGCTCTCTTGCCTGGTGGAGCAGAATTGCCTTCAAGTAGTTTCCCAGGTGTTCCCCAGGCTTTCTTGGTTGGGTGGAGTTGGGAACTACATTCAACAGTGGGCAGGGCTATGAATTAGCTCCCCTTTCTGGGAAGAGCAGAAGAACTGGCTCCAAGGCTAGAAAGGCCCTTGTTTGTGGTCTTGACTCTAGCCAACCTGTGTTCCAAGTTCCCTGGCCAAATGGGGCCACTCATTGACTTTGCTCTGTGGATGATCAGCTCTGCCTGCTGGACTCTCCACTCAAGCATTGCTGGGCTTCCCAGGTGTTCCAGTAAGGCTTTCTGGTCAGGCAGAGCCAGGAGCTACACTTAGCAGTGGACAGAGCTCTAAATTAGCTCCTCTGCCTGGACACAGCATGAGAGCCAGCCACAAGCAGCCTCCCAGGTGTTCTGGTCAAGCTTTCTGGATAGGCAAGGCCACATGCCAGGATCTTCAGTGTCCAAGTGGATAACGCATATAATACTTTAGCCTCATACTTTCAAAACCAATTATATACCTCGATTTCTCTCACCAGTGCTGATGGCCACAACTAGATCATTGTCATGTTGAAATTTCAGAATTTAATGTCTGGTTCTCTGCTCACAATCTCCTATACGTCCAGATCTTTTTATTCACAATTTTATTCCTTTGACCTCCCCATTGGTGCCACTATGAGTATACGAGTATGTGTCTAACCTCAGCTGCTTTTAGCACTAATTGGCATTCCCTTTATGTTTTGGAATCCCTCTCCTGTTTCCTTTTGTGGCTTTTCCAAACCTTCATTATTCTCAAATCCTCAGTCCTATCCCCTAGTCCTTCAACTCATAAGAGATGACTTTACTTTTTCATAGAGCGTTAATGAAGTTCTATTGGGCAGAATCTTCCTGAACTCCTTGCTGTTTCTACCTATGAACTCATCTATAAACAACATCCACATCCTTCTCCCTTGTCTCATTGGAAACGATTCCATTTTATGAGACTGATCCCTTCACTTCTCATTTTCTTTGATTCTGTTTTCTTCTGCTTTCTCAGAGACTATGCTTTATCAATGCTTTATACCCTGTTTTTCAGAGAAGGTTCTTGAAATAGTTGTTTTCACTTATTACTCTATTTAGTTCCCATTTCACTGAAATCTGGTTTCCACCTCTAATACTCAACTAAAACTCTAATTATTAAGGTCATTATTATCCATTTTTTAGTCTTACTCTGGTATTTAGCATAGTCATCTATTTCTTCTTTTTTGAAAACAGAGTATAGTATCCACTGAACTAAACCCAATTCAGTTCAGCAGACTTTTTTGAGAAGCTATTCTGAATTAGACATAGGATTAGAAGAATGAAAAAGTGTGCCTGACAGTTTAGTGAGGGATATTGACATGCAAGCACTATCAATACCAAGAGCTTTGACTGACATACATACCAAGTGATATGAGAGCACAGAAGTATTTAATATTCTCAGGGAAAGTTGTGGAAGCCTATGACTACATAAGCCTTGCATGAGTTTCTGACAGCCTCTTTCTGAGAGTTCTTTAAGAAACTCATAGAATTAGAGGTCAACTAAATAAGTCACAAGATTGATTTTAAAGCTCAGAATTGGAACACAAAGATTTGTGTCTCTTCTTTTAGTGATTATTGTTTTGTTTTGTTTTTCTTGAGAGAGGGTGGGAGGAATAGGATAATTACTGCTTTGAATTAACTGTTTTGTTCTGTGTGTTCAGCACTTCAAAAAGCCTGTATAGTTTTTAGTAAAATCCGAAGTGGTAAGATTTATGTGAATGACCTGCCAATGATCCATCACATGTTGAAGATTTCTTTAAGTGATTCAGAAATGCGAAAGGCACTAAAGACTATTGATATTGACGGTAAATTTTACGTTTTCATTATTAGTTTAAGGGTCTACAAACATGGATATGTTATATGTTGGTCAGATTAATTACAAATAATAGGAAAGCCAAAGCTTTAAAATATGTTATAAAAATATTTTTTTGCAAATTTACAATAATGATATTAAAATTGGGCCTTAAGTGCATAATATTGGATTGATTGGTTACTGGGTTGGATTATGAATACAGTCACCAACATTTGTTATTTTTATATTTTTAATTTTTTCTAATTACTTTAGTATAAAATGGTTTGACATACACAAACTTTCCTAAACAAGTCAAAAAATTTTGAGTAGAAAAGAAGAGATTAATATATTTGATATATTTAACTATATTAAGATTAAGAACTTTTATTTATCAAAAGACACCATAAAATAAAAATACAAATTACAAACTTGTAGATGTTTTCAATTCACACAACTAACAAAGGATTAATCTTTGGAATGTGTAAAGAACTCATACAAATCAGTAATAAATGATAAAATAGAAAAATGAGCAAGACACATGGACAAGTATTTCTTATAAAAGATAACACAAATAGCTGATAATCATATAAAAATATGTTCAACATCATCAGTGTTCAAAGAAATGCAAATCAAAATCCTATTAATTATAATACATTTTAAACACATAGAAAACTATTCTATTGTAGTCATTGTTTGATACTTGAATCAAAGAAATAGGTAATGGAGAATTCATTGCATCTGTAAACCATTCCACGCTTGTTGAGGAGGGGAGAGAAATTTGAATAAAAATGATATAAGTAAGTTGAAAGAGTGGTCAGAAATTAAATAAAATAAATTTAGGACACCTAAATGCAATGTAGTACTCTAAGGTTGAAAGCATCAAGCTTCTCAAATATAAAATGTGGATTTATTATTATAAAAAATTTATAGATGGAAAATCTAGAAGTCAAAATGGATCACCAATAGAATATTACTAAACAATCTAGTAGTAATTTACAAGTTGCAATAGTCACTCCAACAGTTTTTGAGCATCTACAATATGACAGCTTTCTGAGGGTATTAAAAATAAATTAATAAATATAAACCTAACTTTTAGAAAGGTTAAGCTTAAAAGCAACTCTATTTTTCTGACTTGTTTAGTTATCTATATGTTAATTTTCTTTACATTATTTTTTTTGGAGATTTATATTAAAACAGTTCTCCAAAGTGGAAATAACTTTAGTCTCTGAAAGCTCAGAAGAATATAAAGGAGAAAGTCAAAATCATGTGTAATCCCACTACTCAGAGCCAAACTTTAGTAATTTTATATGTATTTTTCTAGGATTTTTCTAAGCATGTACATATAAATGTGTGTATATGTGTTTGTGTATAAGTGTGATGTATACACATGCATGAACATATGATTTTAAAAAACATACATGGACTCACGTGCATAGACTTCTGTTACCTTTTTCTATTAATATTACATTGTAGTCAACTTATTGAGTACATAGATATAGATCTACACTGCCTTTTTTAATGGCTGTGAGTTATTCTATGGAACAGATTTAAAAACAAATTGTGTAAAAAATAAGCTATATAATAAATAACCTATATAAGTGTAGGTTACTTGTAATATTTTTGCTGTTATAAACAGTGCTCTCTCTTTCTCACTCTTTCTAGCTTTCATCAGTCAAAGATAGAGAGCTAAAACTAAAATTTCTAGGTAAAAGAATGTGAACTTTTTAAGCCTTTTAAATAATATTATTAGAAATTCAAAGCAATTAAACTTTAGAACTTCATATATTCAGAACTTTAGAGTTTGTGTCTTCCAATCACCTGGATTTACTGTTTGGAAACTAAGGGATGGAAATGTGGAGTGTCCATTCCAAAGCCATACAACCAATTTTAGATGACATATGTGAAACTTTTGTTCATTAATTTATATATTGAAAATCATGTAGCCCTATATTGAAAATCTTGGCAATAAGTGTAAATACAAGAAAAACTTCAATAGCTGAACATAAAACATGTCCAAAAGAGAAGGTTGTTTTGTTTTCAATTAGTATTTTTATCTTACTGAAGTTTATAAATTACAAAATGAAAATTATCTCTTCACTCCAGTCTTTCTCTACAGTTTCTGGTAGTAAACATTCTTAATAATTTGTTGGGTATCCTTCTTGACCTTTTGTTTTATATGTACATATAGAAATTTTAGTTGGATTTATATTGATTAATGGTGAAGTTGCCTGTAAAATTTTTGCTATTACAAAAAACACCCTTGTACATCAATTCTTGCACATTTGTGTAAATATTTCTATAGGATAGATTTCTAGAAATGAAAAAGCTGAGTCAAAGAATATTCACATATCCATAGGAAAATGGTTTATGTCAAGTTATGTTTTTTTCCAGCTTTACTGACATAATTAACAAATAAAAATTACATATATATATATATATATATCTAATGTGTGCAATGTGATGATTTCCTATAAATATACATTGTGAAATAATTACAGTCAAGCTAAATAGCACATCCATCACCTCACAATTATCATTTTTTTGGTGGTGAGAACACTGAAGAACTATCCTCTTAGCAAATTTCAACATAGCATTATTAACTATAGTTCACCATGCTGTCCCAGAACTTTTTCATTGTTTACCTAAATTGTGTATCCTTTGACCAACATCTCCCCATTTCTTCTACCCCCTAGCCTCTGGCAACCACCATTTTACTCTCTGCTTCTATCAGTTCAACTTTTAAGCTTCTGCATATAAGTGAGATCACACAGCATTGACCTTTCTGTTTCTGGATTATTTCACTTAGCACGATGTCCTTCACATTCATCCATGTTGTTGGAAATGGTGAAATTTCCCTTTTTTTATGGCTGAATAATATCTGTGTGTGTGTGTATGTGTGTGTGTGTGTGTGTGTGTATCATATTTTATTTATTCATCCATTGACAGGCACTTAGGTTGTTTCCATATCTTGGCTATTAGCTATTGTGAATAATGGTGCAATAAATATGAGAGTGCAGATATCTCTTTGAGATCATGCTTTTATTTCTTTTGGATACGTACCCAGAAGTGGGATGGCTGGATGCTATGGTAGTTCTATTTTTAATTTTTTGAGGAAACTCAATGCTGTTTTCCGTAATGGCCATACCAATGGATTTTTAAATTGTATATTTTATAGTTCAATGGAGATATAATTGACATAAAATCAGACACAATTGACATAAAGTATACAATCTGATAAATTTTGACATATGTATACACTTGTGAAACCTCGATACCTCATACTCCTTTCTAAGCCCTCACTCCCTCTCCACAACGCCTCTCACCACTCCCCACGCAAAAACTAATCTGCTTCTGTTATTATAGATACATTTGCATTTTCTAGAATTTTATATAAATAGGACCATGCAGTAAGTACTCATTCTTTTGGTCTGGTTTCTTTTACTCAGCTTAATTATATTGAGATTCATCCATGCTTTTGTGTGTTCATTCTTTTTTATTACTGAATAATATTCCATTATATGAATATTCCATGAGTTGTTTATCCATTCACTTATTGATGGACGTTTAGGTTGTTTCCAGTTTTTGGCTTTACAAATAAAGCTGGTGTAAATGTTCATTTGTATGTCTTTGTGTGGTCATCTGATTTCATTTATCGTGAGTAAATACCTAGTGGTAGAATGATCGGCGCACACAGTATGTATATATTTAACATTTTTAGAAACTGCTGAACTATGTTTGCCCAGCAGTTGAACCATTTTACATTGTCACAAGCAATATATGAGAGTCCCAGTTGCTCCTAATCCTTGCCAATCCTTTAAAAATTATAGTCATTCTAACAGATGTATGGTACTATCTCATTGTGGTTTTAATTTGCATTTCCTGAATGATCAAATGAGGTTGAACATATTTTCTTGTGCTTATTTTGCTATTTGTATAGTTTCTGCTCATTGAAAAAATTGTGTTATTTTGATTGCATTTTTAAAGTTCTTTACGTATTTTGAATACAAGTGTTTTATTGGATTTTCGATTAGCAAATATTGTGTAGTGTATGGCTTATCTTTTTATACTTTTAAGAATGTCTTTTGAAAAGAATAAGTCCATACTTTTGATGAGGTCTGGTCTACAATTTTTTCTTTTATGGATTATGCTTCTGATGTTTCACCTAAAAGATTTTTGCCTAACCTGAGGTTACATAGGAGTCAAAAATAACTCAAAGCAGTTGATTGAAATTTGTACAGATGTTTCATTGTGTTTTTTTATTGGCAGCTTAGCGGCTGCTCAGCTGGGGCTGGCCTCGAACCACTGTTGCTCAGAGCTCAAACTCTTGAGCGTGCTCTTAACCAACTGAGCCATTCGGCCGGCCCCAGATGTTTCATTGTTTTTGAAGGAAAGGAGAAACCACTATAAAGTTGTTGCACTGAAAAGGAAATTTTGAGGCAGACCATTTGACAAACTTACCAATATCGGAGAAAGTGCTTCTGTGGTTTGGAAATGTGAACAACCATGCCTTGTCAATTTCTATGCAGGTAGAAGCCTGCAGATCATTGGAAGCGCTGAATTGTTTTTATAGGTTACTTTGCTCAGATGACCTTAAATTGAAACGTAGATTTAGAATCATTTTATTCTGAACATAGATAAACTTTGATGTAAACTCTTTCAAAATTGGCCTCATTTACTTGATGACAGATGGAAATGACTTTGTAATTATTTAACTTGAAGAATCTTGAAAAATTCAGATGTTCCCTGACACAGAGCTATACTTATCTAGAAAATGAGATTTAAGAACCCTGAATCTGTGCTTTGGCACACTTTTTAAGTCTGGATTTTCAGTTCTAGTTGCTATCAGAGATGACACATGCAAGAAAAATCACTCCATGATTTGAACTTTTCATTCAAGCCAAACAAAAATGTCTTACTGAAATTTTCATTTGTGCAGTTTAGATTTCTTTTTTTCTTTTAATAAATAGTCATTATTTTTTGTATGAAGAATGATATGATTTTTGGGGGGGAGGAAGGATTGATTTAATGTGAAATATTTTGTGCATTTGTTTAATGCATTGTGTGTGTATGTGCATGCATTGTGTGTGTGTGTGTGTGTGTGTGTGAGAGAGAGAGAGAGAGAGGGAAAGTAGTAGAAAGGGGAGGGAGAGGGGGAGAGAAATGGAATGATGTCAAGCAAAGCTTTCATTAGCATCTCAACTGGATCCATAATCTCCCCCAAAACCACTGGTTTAGAGAGCTTTTCTAGAACACAATGAAATCAGTATTAAGATACGATCATTATGTATGTAAAATTGGCATGTCGCATGTAGTTTTTGTACATAATTACAAATATAAACATTAGAGGCTTGAGCAAAGAGCAGTGCAGTATCTCCAGTCGTAGTCTATATAACTCTTACTATCACTGCAATACTATTTACTACGTAGTTACAATATGTAAATATTTTTTTTTACATTCTACATTTAATATTAATGTCGACTACTCTTGTATAGAGACTGTGGTATTTTAATATCAATTAATTCTATTCACATTTTTAGTTTGCATTTTTAGCTTATGTCCTTAGTGAGTTCACTGATACATTTGCTGACGGAGTGTTTTTCCTTCTGTTTCTGAATCCTTATAGTTAATGGAATACTGGATTTTTCAGATTTCCTTAAGGCTGTGAATGATGTTTGTTATGTGGTCTCTCAGGATCCAGGTAAAAAGATGACTCTTCATATTTATAGAAGAAAATGATTTTGATAGTAACTGATGTTAGGGTTGGGGGGCTATATGAATTTATGTGGGGGTTTTTTCAGAATCTTTTAACTCCTTTATTCCACTAGTAGTGTAAGTTGAGTAAAGTTAGACATGAGTTATTTCATAAAAAGCATTAAAATACCTAGATCACTGCCATGGTCTTGTAATTATCTATCTCTAATCTCCATTTTTCCCTGCACACAACTGCCAGACTAATTTTCTTAAAACACAATTTTTGTCATGTCAGTACCCTGCTCAAAAATTAGATGCTCTTCCTGTTATCAAGTGAACTAGTCCAAACTCTTATGCTTGACATCCTCGCCTCTTCATAACTTTTCTTTCCACTCAACCTTTCTCCATAGACTCTGTCCCAGGCAAAAACCCCATGCTCCAGCTTATCATAAATCTCCACACATGCCAATTTCATTCTTATTTCCTTGTCTTCGTGCACGTGTTTTTCTCCTCTGATGAAGTCTCATATCTGTTTTCTTCTCTCCCCTTAACAGTACTTCTTCACTGTGTCTAGAATCTCTTGGTATTTTTCCCTAAAAATTTCAGATGCTGATGGGTCTCCTAATAACTTTTAGTTTATACTACATATAAATTGTAAAGGAAGTGGTTGGCAGGACTATTCATATTAATGATATAAATAGTGTTTCCAAAAGTCTGAGATCTCTAGTGTTCGGGACTAATTTTAATAGTGGCCAAACTGTTGTCAAACTCATTGTAGTGTGATAAAAAATCTGAAGAGAAACTGTATCTATATCATTCTTCTCTCTTTTATACTGTCTTTTCTAAATTGCATTTGTAAGCAATTAACAACGCCCCCAAATTTGGATTAAGCTGTCTTGCTATTGTCAATTAATTGGTAAGAAATTGTTTTAGTTAAAAGTTTTAACTAAGACGTGAGTATAGTATAATGAGTAAAAGCAAGCATTCTAGAGTAAGACTACTAGATTAGAACTCTGGATCTTCCATTTACTAGCTGCATAATCAGAAGGGATTTTCTAAGTCTTAGTTTCCTTATCTGTAATGTAGGAATAACAATAATTTTGGTGTTATAGGCCTATTGTGATCATTGAATGAGATAACCCCTAGCTTTTAGCATAGTGCCCAGCACATATATAGTGTTCAATAAATACCAGATCTTATTTATAATATATTAGGAGTAATAACAGCAAAAATTACATTTTATGCTATGAATGTGGCCAGAACTGAGCAAATGCCTACTTGCAGGTAAATTTCTAGAATACCCACTGCCTATGTGAAGTTATTTTTCCCTAGTAGGCTATTGACACAAAAGCAGCTCCTCCAAGAAAAGCTTTTGATTCTCATGGTATAACAATTTGTTTTGTTTGTTCGTTCGTTTGCAGCATTCCAGGATGCCTTGAAGATTTTCTGTAGGATAAAAGATGGTCGAGTTGCAATTGATGAAGTGGCTGCTGTTTTGGAGAGCATGGATATTCCTGTAATCCCTGAAATTTTTGAGGAAGTGATAAAACATGCTAGTGTTGATAGTAAGTTATTTGAATCGACATATATGTGTATATCTTTCTTAGATATCAATTTTCTGATTCATTCTTTATTTCTTTTCCTTTTTTTAAATTTAGTTTTATTATTAGTTTCAAATGTACAAAACAACATAATGATTAGACATTTACACCCCTCAGAAAGTGGCAACCCCACCAAGTCTACTGCCTCTCTGACTTCTTTTTCTTCTTGATTCTTGCCTTTTTCATCAACATTGCTTACTGGTGTCTATGGTAAGAGATAGTCTAGAAAAATTAAATGAGAAATTTCTAAAATGGTTATATTTTGGTATGTTTGATAAAAGTCTAAGAGAAAAATGAATTTTTTTCTTTTCAACCTTCTCTCTCTTTTCCAATAGTCATTGCTTATCTTTGTGGAGAGGCAGTTTCTACAGTGTCAGGCGCATTGGCTTCAGAAGATAGGAGGCCTAAATTTCTTGACTTTTCAACTTAATGTGTAGCTTTGATCACAAAGTCTTCCAATGCTCTTCAGTTACTCTCTGTAAAATGTAGATTTCTTTGAGCATTATACATATATTTAGCAGATGTTTTGTATTATGTGTTTATATGTGACATGGGGATGTCCTATAAAAATGGGTTCATTAATGATTGATTAATTGATTTATCCATTCATTTAATGAGTTACATAGTCATTTAATATCTACTGTGCCTGGACCTATATTAGTGATACACAGAAGAATAAAACACATTTCTTATTCTGAAGGAGCTCACATTCTAATGTGGAGTCAAGTAAACTGAAAATTATAATGTTGTGTAGCAAGCACTGTTATAGAATGTATATACCATAGGCTGCTAATGCATACTAGGAGCACCAAGGAAAGGTTATTGTAGGAGGTGACGTCTGAGCTAAATCTTCAAGGATTCGTTAGTAGGGGTAGTTGGTTGAAGGTGGTGGTGAAGGGTGAGAAAGATATTTTAGACTGAGGGAACAGCTTGTGTAAATATGGCAGGAAAATAGTCAGACATGACCTCCTTTCTGGTGGGCTTCCACTGATTTTTGTCATATGTTAGTGGTGGCTTTGTAGAGGGCCTTTGGTCTAGAGATAAAATCAAGGTGCATAGAGTTCTACTAAGTAGTCATTTGTAATGGACTCTGGGGTGCTAGGCAGGAGTGAAGGGATATATACTGGGGCATGAAGATATCTCTAAAATGGGGATTTTAAAGCTAATCTCAAGCCATATTATTAAATAGCCTTTAGGGAGTGCTGTGCCAGGAGCAACAGAAATCATATATGAAATCACTGCTGCACCTTGCTTTTTGGCTTAAGGAATTCTGGTCTGGGTTTCCAGGGCTCCTACTTTACTTGGGGAGGTAGGTTGGACAAACATACTAATTTCATAGGATTGTTGTAGGAATTAAATATAAACATTTCTCATCATGTTTGGCACCTAGAACAGGCTCAAGAAATGTGCAGCAGAAACCTCAGAATCATCCTTGACCTCTCTGTTTCTGTGTTCTCCTCATGTAGTCATTATGAAGTACTATTACTTTAAACACTTAGATACCTCAAATTTTTCAATTTGCCAACATTATTGCTACCGTAGTCCCGGTTACTACAATCTTTCCTTAGGACCATTGCAGCTCATCCTAAGAAGCCTACTCATATCCATCCAGTCTTATCTCCCTTTACACTGTAGACAGAATGATTTTTTTCAAAATACACATCTGATCATATTTGCCTCCTTGTATAAAATCTAATAACACCTCTTAGGATAAGGAACCCATTAATGTTGTGTACAAGGCCTTGCAATGTCTGACCTTTACCCAGATCTTCAGATTTTTCTCAGACCACATTCTCCCGTCCTCTCTGTGCCTTCTTAGAGATTCAACTATATACCATGCCCGCTCCTGTCATAGCCATTGCACATGTTTTCCCCCTGGAACCTTCCTCTCCTCCTAGTTAATTCCTACTTATAGTTCAGATCTCAACTCAACTCTATTCTTTAGGGATGGTTCCCTGACCTCTCTGACTTTATAAAATTCTGGTATTATACACTCTCACAGCACTAAAAACAGTTGCAATATGCATTTTGAATTGTTTGATTAGGATCTGCATCTCACATAAGACTAAGCACCAGGAGAGAAGATACCATGTTTACCTTTGCTCAGTATTATTTCCTCAGCACCTAGCACTGTATTTATGGCACATATTAATTGCTCAACAAATATATGTTGAATGAATTACTAATTCTCATCCTTTACTCTCTACCTCTCCCAACCAGGGAGAACAAGATTTCTTCATTTTGTCATATTAATAAGCTGGCTGCAACTTGAGGCAAAATTCCTCCTAGGGAAGGTCCTTGACTTTTGACTAGGGAAATCATTTTAATAGGTACGTCTGATTATGGAAGTTAATACCTACTGGGAAACACCTGGTTTGAGCAAAGAGTAAGGTAATGTACTCTATATAAGAAAACAACAGGAATTTAGAATACAACAGTGGCTCATCTGCAGTTGGAGGAAGAAGATTGAGGGAACCTAAGAGTAGATGAGGGTCTAGCAATCAGTACAGAGGAGCCAAGAAAACCTTAGGACAATAGTATGTAGTTGCTCATTGTGCTGTTGAAAACTCCCTTACTCCTATTTATTGCAAGCTATCAGCAACACTTCATTATATACAATAGCCTTGTGTCAGTATTGTTGGTGGGTGGATTTAAAGGAGAAAGATCTGTAGGTTTTATGCGAGGTTGGCATGGAGTGGAGAGTAGAAGTAGCACCTGTAGAGTGTGATAGATAATGTGAGTGAGATCAAGAGTCCAAGGGAATAGAAAACAAAACAAAAACCAACCACAAGAGTATAAATAACCCAGGAATCCTCAAATTTAGGAGAGACTATTGATTTATATTCATGTCATGTATGGTGTGGGGTCTGAGCTATTTTACTTAACTATTAAAGGAAAGGGCAACCCAGAATGCCAAAAGATTTGGGTCACCCAAGTAGGAGGCCTATGGATTTTCTGTACCAGAGTGTTGAAGTAAAGGGTAATGTATCTCAGGTATCCCACTGGTAGAAGGCATAGCACTATAGATACTGTTCTAGCATCTTGTCTTTGTTATTTGGTTTGTTTTTTTGGAGCAACGATGATAGATGGAGAATATGTTAGTCTTATGAGTGTTCATAATGAGGAGGAAAGAATTATGCCACTGGAATTTGCAGTAAAATCCAACAAGCATTAAGATATGGCAAGAGGAATATGGAAAATCACTAGATGGTGGTCTGGGAGTCTCAGGTATTTTAGTTTCTGAAATAGGGTATTGGTGCAGTAGTTTTTTCTCCCATGGAGGTTAGTGATCTGGAAATTGAAATGGGTGAAAAGTAGTGACTAACACAATCTTTGCCAGAGGAGGTTTTGAGATTGTCGGGCTCTCTGAAGATTATAGAAATGTAGTGTTAATGGTCACTTAACACCTTCAAAATAATGTTGCCTTGAATATGACCTTGATGATTAAGACCATTTTTTTTTCTCATACTAGGTAGCTATATTTTCCAGGTTGAATTACCTCCAGAAATACAAATATAGTGGGAGGTTGGTTTGAACGTCCCTTATGATTTCATAAACAGTATCTATAACCATATTGATTGCCTCAGTCTTGACCAGGAATCATTTGTTAAGGCAGATAGGGGCTAAAATAGTAATTTCAGATTCTGGGATGCTTCTCTGGCCACCAGGGACTATTTAAATTGGTAATATTTGTTTGGGAGGTTCATGGTAGGTATCTTTTATTGTGTTGGAAGCCTGGAATAAATTTTGAGCAAGAGCTAGTAAGTCTGTATAAATGGTTGGCTACTGCATTCTCATTGGTTGATGTTAGACCTCTGTCCAGAGTAGGCGTTTTCTAAGTGGAGAACAGATAAAAACAATATGGCCTTCTCTGCTGGATTAATGTATGTATGGTCCAACAGAATATTTTTCAGTGATCAAGTTCAAAAGCTTAAGGGCTGAAGCTATGATCTAAGAATTTTGGACATATAATCAGTCCACACTACACGTAAGTGCCAGGAATTCACTGGGGACACTATCGGAGGTGTTAGAACCATAATCAAGAACAGAGTGAGGATAAATACCAAGGAAATAAGAAACTACAATGTAATAAGCAGTTCCTAATAGAAGACAACAGCATCAATTTGGTCTAGTGCTTTTTGATTGGGTCAAGTACATATTTGCTTTGTCCTGCACCTGACATAGCTTACCAATTTTCAAAGAATCAGTGAATCAGACTTACCCAACACTAAGACTATACTGTACATAATTCTCCTTTGACTCAGCAGTCACTTCAAAAACTTGCATCTTTTTCTCAGGGTCTTCATTTATACATAGAATTGAACAGTTGATCTCTAATGAATAGACTGAAGAACAAACCCAGTACAGTAAAACCTTGGTTTGCGAGCATAATTCATTCCAGAAACATGCTTGTAGTCCAAAGCACTTGTATATCAAAGCGAATTTCCCCATAAGAAATAATGGAAACTCAGATGATTCGTTCCACAACCCAAAAATATTCATATAAAAATGATTACAATACTATAATATAATGCAAAATAATAAAGAAAGTATAAAGAAAAACAAACAAATTAACCTGCACTTACCTTTGAAAACCTTCATGGCTGGTGTGAGGGAGACAAGAGAGAGGAGGGTTATTGTGTAGGACAACTTTCACTATCACTAACGGAACATCTGCTACCTACTGGCTCAATGGAATCTTTTTCTTTTTGTGAAACTTTAACAAGGAACCTTTCCAATGACACTTGCTTTTGCCTCCTTTTGAGGATTTCACAGAAATGTGACATTGCATTGTTGTTAAACAGATTCATCACTCGCACTGCTACAGCCTTATTCGGGTGGTGCTTTTCTACAAAATTTTGCACTGTTTCCCACATTTTACACATCTCCCTAATCTCATTTGAAGTGAGGGATTCCTCCTCCTCTGCAGATGAGATCTCCTCCATAACCTCTTGCTGTTGCTCGTGATGTAGATCCATCAGTTCGTCAGTGGTCAGGTCTTGGCCATGTTCCTCCACCAGCTCTTGAATGTCATCCTCATTCATCTCCAGTCCCATGGTCTTCCCCAAGGACACAATTTCATCGACAACTGGCAGCTCCTGTTCATGAGCAAGCCCCTCTAAGTCATGTCGAAGAATGCAATCAGGCCACAGATTTCTCCAAGCAGAATTGAGGGTTCTCTTGATGACCCCATCCCAGGCTTTATCAATTATCTTGAGGCAGTTCATGAAGTGGAAATGATTTTTCCAAAACTCTCAGAGGGTAAGGTTTGTTCCTTCGGTCACCTTGAAGCATTGCCGAAATAGTGCTTTGGTGTAAAGCTTTTTAAAGTTTGAAATGACCTGCTGATCCATGGGGTGGAGGATTGGAGTGGTGTTGGGAGGCAGGAACTTGAACTTAATGAACTCAAATTCCTCCAGTAAATCGTCCTCAAAGCCTGGAGGATGAGCAGGAGCATTATTCATAATTAGCAAGGCTTTGACTGGCAGATTCTTTTCTAAAAGTTACTTCTTCACTGCAGGACCGAAGACCTCGTTCATCCACTCAATAAACAAGATACAAGTGACCAAGCCTTGCTGTTGGACCTCCACATAACGTTTAACTGGCTTTTCTGCACCTTACATTTCTTGAAGGCTCATGGATTCTCAGAATGATACATGAGCAGGGGCTTGACTTTGAAATCCCCGCTTGCATTAGCATAAAACAAGAGGGTGAGACGGTCTTTCGTGGGCTTGTGACCGGGCATTACATTCTCTTCTTCTGTAATGTACGTCCTCTTTGGCATCTTTTTCCAAAAAAGCCCCATCTCATCACAGTTAAAAACTTGCTCCAGCAGGTAACACTCGGAAACCATGAGCTTCTGGAACTTGGTAGCGAATGCCTCAGCTGTCTTAACGTCCAAACTCGCAGCCTCTCTGTGCCTCACAACACTATGGATGCCACTTCTCTTAAAGTTATCAAACCATCCCCTGCTTGCCTTGAAGTCTTCTTCGTTTTCTGTTGACATACCTGGCAGTTTACTTATGAGGTCGGTGTACAAAGCCTTTGCTTTCTCGCAGATAAAGTTCTCGGTCACAGTATCACCTGCTAGTTGCTTCTCATTTATCCAAACCAGAAGCAACTTTTCTACATCTTCCAGAACACGTGGCTGTTGCTTTGATATTCTTGTGACTCCTTTTGCTGCATCTAGCCCCCTTATTTCTTCTTTCTTCTTTAATATTGTGCAAATGGTCGATTTTTATAAAATCTTTTTATAAAATCTTGCAATTTCGGCCACTCGCATACCTCATTCGTACTTCTTGGTGATTTCCTTCTTAATTTCCACCATAATCATCTCCTTCTTCTTACCGCCTTTCTTTTCAACCTTTTTCTACATGGGGGCCATTGTATACCCTCGCATAGATGTTGACTACAGTACATTATTAATAAACTCTTGTACTGTATTTAATGTAACTGAAAATAAGGCGGCAGAGAAGAGAGTCTATATCTGCAGGCAGCCTGACCTAGAATGAAGCAAAGCATTCCTAAACTTACTCTTGTATGGAAAAGCAAAAGACTGTCCATAGGTGCTTTGAAGTGACAAAAAGTACACTAGTGCCTGTTGTGGGCACCTTCTAATGTTCTGAAAAATCACTGATTTCTGCCAAACACCATCATGGCCTGAGACGGAGCATCTGAGCATGGGAGATGATCACCCACAATCCTGCAGTGACAGAGAGAGAGAACTATTGGCTCAATTGTGATGATGTGACGTTCGGTATCACGTACTACTCGTATTGCAAGACATCGCTCGTTTATCAAGTTAAAATTTATTAGAAATGTTTGCTTGTCTTGTGGAACACTTGCAGAACAAGTTACTCGCAATCCAAGGTTTTGCTGTATTTTTATAGATAGATAAGCCAACTCCCAGTCTTTTTTTTTTTCTAAAAGATTTTATTGGGTAATTAGGGGAGGGAACAGTGTTGGGGAATCAGGGAAGGGGAACAGATAAGTTGCTGTCCTTTTGTTCTTCAGTCTAGCTGTGGAGGACGTTGCTTCACTGGCCCGTGTTGGTATTGTGATCATTGTGCTCTTTTCGACTGAGGCAGATCAGTTACCGGCCATTGGATGGCCACTCACTGCAGCTCATGCCAGCTCACGCCAGCTGCCAGCCACTCACGGTAGCTTACCGTAGTGCACTGCAGCCCTGCTGCAGCCTATGCTGTCACTGGCGACTCACGGCAGCCCAGCTCCAGGTCGAGCTGTTGTTCACCTTCTTAGCTGTAGAGGGTGCAGCGTCACTGGCCTTCCATGTGGGATCCAAACCAGGCCCCTGCTGCTCAGAGCTCGCGCTCCCAAGCCAACTCTTAACAAATGCGCCACTCAGCCGGCCCATCTCCCAGTCTTTTCTACCTTGGATGACAAGCAAAGTCAAACATCCAGAGGCAAGAACTATTGGGAAAATCATTTTCTACCTCTGTGCACAATTGGAATGACATTATTTAAGGTCACTGCATCTGAACCCATCCTCTGTCATGCATTGTCCAAGAAGAGAAATGGTCTTAGGCAGGGGCAGGAATGGTAGGAAGTTATAATTATGAGAGTGCTGGGCACATAGGAGGTGCTAAGTAAATGTTTTTCTGATATCCACGAGGTAAATATTGCATTATTCTTTACAGCCTTCAGTATATTTTGCTCATTCAAAAATCCTTTTTATTTTTTTATTTATTTTAAAGATTTTTATTGGGGAATTGGGGGATGGGAACAGCGCTGGGGAATTGCAGAAGAGGAACAGACAAGCTGCTGTCCTTTTGTTCTTCAGTCTAGTTGTGGAGGACGTTGCTTCACTGGCCCAAGTTGGCACCATCATTGAGCTCCTCCAGGGCGAGGCAGATCAGTCGCTGGCTTCTGGGCTGCCACTCACATGGGCTGCTGGCCACTCACGGTAGCCCATGGCAACCCACTGCCACAGGGGCTGCAGCCTATACCGTTGCCGGCAACTCACGGCAGCCCAGCTCCAGGTTGAGCTGTTGTTCATCATCTTAGCTGTAGAGGGCAGTGTCACTGGCCCTCATATATGGGATCCGAACCGGGACCCTCTGGCATCCCAAGCCAGTTCTTAACCAACGTGCCACTTGGCCGGCCCCAAAAATCCTTTTTAAGTGATAAGAAGTAAATACTTTGTTAGGCATTAGGGAATCAAATGGAAGATGCATCCTCTGCTCTTGAGGAGCTCATTATCTAATGAAGAATACAAAAGATTAAATACTTTAAAAACTGCCGATAGTATGTTCCCCCAAATATTTTGTTAAATGAATAAAATATTATCCTGATTACCTAGGTTTGGAACTTAAAATGAGACTAATTTCTTTTGATGGGAAACTTTTATTAAGGAGAAAAAAGTAATGGTTTTCATCTTATGTTTCAGTGTGTACAGAGTTATTAATTCACAATTTCAGGTATTATTCAAAACCCATAATAGCTGGCCCTCTGTGTGTGGCCCTCCACACTTATCTGTGTTGCTTTCATACTAGAATAGGATGGTGGCTCTATTTGTGTTCAAAAGCAAAGTCAGTATTTGAGCTTCTTCTTTCTATCACAGGTAACCATATGGTGGATATTGGTGATATTATATTTTCTTTGGATGAACTGCAGCAACACTATGAGGATGTTCGTGAGTGAGCTCTTATTGCTATAGAAAGTTTTATCTATAAATAAATAGTCTTTAAATTAAATTCTAACTTATAGGTTTTATCATACAGGGTTTGAAAGCCTACTTTGAATGCTTTACTCTAACTCTTAAGTCAGGAAGATAAAAATTTAATATAATATTCTAAATATATCTAATTAATATTGATTGCATAATATGACTATCTTGTAACTTTTATCTTTCCCTTCACATTTTGCAACATGAAGTCAACTTTAAAACAAAATAGTAACACCTAAAAAAGTAATATTTACTTTGCAATGTGGGTAATTCTGACATCCTGACATCCACAGTTTAAAAAATTTTAATATGTTCTTTGCTATCATTCAATATTTAATTTAGTTTAGTTTTTCTTCATTAAGTACATTGTTTTTTATCTCTTCTTATTGCACATCATGTCACTTCTCAGTCTTTTTCATTTGTATAAATTCATTTGGTCAAGATTATATACGTACATAATTTTTAAAATTATAGTACATAGTTCTATATAAAGCTTGCTATATTAAAAAAAAGCAGCCTCTTGCCTGATCCTTTCCTCAGCCTCTCTAGAGGCAAATATTTTAAATGTTTTAGTTGATTACTTGGTATTTATCTGCATGACTGTAAATAACATGTTTATATTGCTGCTCATTGGTTTTTAAATTTTTGGGTAGACAGAGTAAACTCCCCACAATGAGAAATAAGGATTTAGCTCTGTTTCATTTTCCCTGTCCCCACCACATCCACTTACTCTTCATAAACCTATCCATTTCCCCAATATAGTTATATGATAATTTGATTAATATTTAGTATTTATATTGATATGTTCATGTAAACAGTATTCACAGCTGAGCCATGTAGTAAATATCTTGTGGTTACTTTCTTTTTCTGTGCAAATTTTTGTCTTTAAATTAATACACTGCCACCTGTCTAAATATTCTCTCCATAAATTTGGATGTACTGGGTATTCTGTCAGTTTTGTCTTCTTGAAGAAACCTTCCTTAGAGTGGCATTCTGATATTCTTCAGTATGGATTTGTTACCCTCTACCTCTTGTGTGCAGCTGTCATCCTGGGATCTCCCTTCATTAACATTCTGGAGACTTTCACTTCTCTCCTTCTGTATCAGATTCTGTCCTCATGTTTGATAGTTTGGGTATAAAATTCTAGATTGGAAATAATTTTCCCTCAGAATTTTGGATTTTCTAGTTTTCAGTGTTGCTGTTGAAGTCTGGAATTCTTCTGATCCCTGACCTTTTGTATGTAACTGATTTTTGACTTTGCAAGCTTATAGGATATCTTCTTTGCATCTAAATTTCTGAAATTTCATGATGATGTGCCTTGAAATAGGTTTGCATCAATTGTGCAGGTACAGCATCCTTTGATTCTGGGAAATTAAAACAGATTTCCTTTTCTCTATTTCCTCTGGAACTCATATTATTTGGATATTTGACATCCTGGACTGATGCTCCTTTTTCCCCTTTACAACTTCCTCATGGTTCTGCACCTTCATAACTAAGGGATTTGTAGCTGTATTGGCTTATTAATCTATTATCTTTCTAAATTGGGAAAGAGTAGGGAATGAGAACCACGCACTTTAGAGGACTATCTCTTTAGATTTGGTGTAACTTTAAATAGCTTTGGGTGGAAGTATTTAAATATATTAAACCAGCATATTATATTTAACCTAGTTAATAATTCAGTCTTTTGATCTTCAACTTTTGTTTTTTTTAAGTTGTTAATTTTGTTTTACTGATTTAAGCAACTGATAATTTCTCAAATAGCTTTCATGAAGACTTAGTTATTATTTTTTAAATAATATAACAAATTGTACAGGTAAATAAAATAATTGAATATGTTATGTTTCTCTTGCTTGGCAATTATGGAATGGTCAGCCTCAGATGAAGCTACTTCAAACACAAAGTTATCAGATGTATCAGGAGGTTGTCTACCATATAGGAAGAAAAGCATTTTATCTTCCAGTCTGTCTGAACTGTCATTGCCCCAGAACTTAAGTAGCAAAAATCTCCAACATCATAAAATTATGGAGGATAATGATGACCTGGAATTTAAAAGATCAAAAAATAATTTGCATATAAGAAAATTCCTGGATGGGGTTGATAGTAGCAGTGATGTTGGATTTCAAGAATCATCTTCAAACGATGGCATATACTTTAAGAGAAGTTCAGAGAAAGTTGAAATTCATGACTCAAAGTCTAAACCACAAAACTCGAAGAATATTACAAGCCTCAAAAAGTCTCTGGGTGTAAGTGATATTTTTAGTGCCCCAGAACTTAAGAAGCCAGCTGTGAGAAGGCCTTCCAGCTTCCTAAATCATATTTCATCTAAGGAAAAAACTACAATTAAGGCTCTGGGTCAGTATCATATATGTAAGTCAAAATCTAAGCCCTTGAGTTCTTGAGTAATCACAGAAATGAGCTGAGGCAATCAGTTATTAGACAGTTATAGGCATTTCAAATGTCAGTATTCTGGATAGGTACTTCTGGAACCTAAGCCAATGAAAACAACGCTGTAGTTTTAATAGTAGTTCCTTTTCAGATGCTCCCTTTTTGGGAAACCTAACTTAGGCTGAGAAACTTATTCAGTGATCAGTTGGAGTCACTCAGGTTCCCTAGAAAGTAGAAGGCCTGTTTTTCCTTAGAAATGCTTATTTTATAATTCATTTAACCAAATATGTAAGAAGTCTATGAGAAATTTTTGCTCAGAGTTCCATAATTTAAATACATGATATCCATAGTACTTCAGGTATTATCTCTTATAGATGTGGGAATATCAAGAGAAAATAATTAATATGACATATCTCAGGTCCCCAAATATGAGCAATATGTGTTTTCCCCCTTCTGTCCTACTTATATCACAGAAGTGCTGTATATGGAACTTAATGAAACACTCCTTCCTGTAATCCTTGGCAGAAGTTACTTAAGCTGTGTTTATATTCTTTAAAGAAAATTCCTGACCTTTTTATTGCATTTAGTATCGAATGTAATTGTTAAAGTGAGTACCGTATTTCCCCATATATAAGACACACCCTTTTTTGAAAAATTTGGGGTCTAAAAACTGAGTGCTTGTAGTGGTTGTAGACTTTTTGACAGTGATAAGGAGTTGTATGAATTTTATGATGAATAAAACTTGAGTTCAATAACTTTATGTAATACATTTTTTTTCAAATTTCGGACCCCAAATTAATGTGTGTCTTATTCATGGGAAAATACGGTCTTTAGTGAAAAATTAGTGATTCTTATACACTAATGCATGCTACAAATAACTCAGTTGAAAAAGGAGTTTGATCAATTAAGGAGCCACATAGATGTTCATTCTGATTCCTTTACTGACAAAACTGCTTTTACTCTGCCTCATTTCTGTTTCTGAGTTCTTTGTACTTCAACACATAGTAAAGCCCTGTTTAAAGGACTAATGGAATAGTAGGCATTTAGCCAGTGGATAGAAGAGGCTTGTGGAAGAAACTGGTTATCTACCTTCCTCATGTCACAAAATCAAATGATGTCACCGACTCCTGCCATACTTAATGTTCTCTATGTAGAGAAGTGTGAAATAGTTTAGCTGGTAGAGCATCTCCCAGTACATTGATGGCAACTGGGCATCTGTGAAATGTGACTGCCACTTAATTTACATCTTAAAAACATTTTTAACTTTTCATTTTGAAATAATTTTGAATTCATAAGAATTACACAAAAGTAAAAAGATTCCTATATACTCTTCATTTAGTTTTCCCGAGTGTTAAGATTGTACATAACCACAGTACAATGATCTAAACCAGGAAATTAACACCGATACAATATTATTTACTAATCTAAAGACCTTATTCAAATTTTGTCACTTGTTCCACGAACACCCTTTTTCTGATCCAGGATCACATATTACATTTAGTTGTCCTATGTCCTTAGTCTCTTCCAATCTGGGAGGGTTTCTCAATCTTTCATAATCTTGACACTTTTGAAGAATATTGACTAGTTATTCTGTATACCACCCTTCATTTTGGGTTTTCCTTATATTTCTTCATGAAAAAATTCAGGTTATGCATTTTCGGCCAGAATACCTCAAAAGTGATATTGTGCCCATCTCAGTGCATCATATTAGGAGGCACATGATGGCCATGTGACTCTGCTTCTAGAATTTTATAATTTTGAAGGTTGGGAACTGAAAGTATGATAGAGTAAAGTGATGTTAAAGGGAAGAACTCTCATTTTTTGCTTGGAATCCTTGCATTTAAAAGAACATATCGGTGTTTTGATCGCTTGAATTTATTAATTATGTTTTAATCAGAACCAAGCAGCATTGGCTGGGCCACTGGAATAGCCTGTTTCTCCAAACAAGTAGTTTATAATTTTTTATAGAATTTCAAGACAGTTTTGTGCTTGAGCTATAAGTGAAAGATTAAGTATAATGTAAGATACACAGAAATATGGAGAGAAAAGCAGTCCTTCTATAAGGCAATATTAAGTATATAAAACTTGCTTTCTGGTTACCAGATAAAGATTTTAGGTTACAATTATTTCTGAAGACACTGTTGAAGATTCTGTTGCTGAATAGTTCTCCACATTTTATGTTTTAGAAAATGTCTGTGAAGCTATCAATAAACTCCAAGAAAATTACATTGCTGCAGAAGAACTTCAGTCCATTTTGCCATCAATAGGAATTACTTTATCAGATAAGGAGTTCAAGAAGATTGTGACAGACACTGGTAGAAATGGTGAGAGACTGATAATACAAAGCTTTATGAGAAAATTAGGTACTTTTATGGGATAGTATTAAATGTTGGCGTAAGTTCTCTCAACTAGAAATGGAACATAATGGGCCATTCTAAAGGAAATTCAGAAAGAAGAGATATAAAAATGGAAATTAGTTTTAAAAAAAAAGTTCCTGGAAAGTCTGACCTAATGGACTAGTTTGGCGAGGCGAGGCCTTTCACATCTGAGAATTGTTTTAATAAGGCTTCATCATTATCCCTAGCTATGCTTCCTAGTGTGGGACAAGTACTGGGGAAGGCTGGTCCAATTGTAGGGAGGTTTGGCAGCAAGAGCACAAAATCCAAGGAGTACAAAAATCTCCAAGTGAATAGCTCAGGAACATAAGGCGAAATAATTGGAGATTCTAAAATGTAGAGGGAGCACCATAGCTTGAAATTCAAGGCTAGTGACATTTAAATCAAGGCATGTTGTTAGCATCTATCAGAGGTTCTCATTTTTGCAACGAAAAACATAGAAAAAATACGTCATGACTTTTCTGACAACCCAATATATGGGTACCTTTTCTTTTTCCTATATCTATTCAGTACCTAACTCACTCCTTTACACTTTGTCAAAGATATTGAAAAATCAGGGCCTTTATTTTACTTATTGTTGCATTCTTGGTACCTACCATAGTTCTTGGCACTAATATGTCCTCAATAACTGTTGAAATGAAATGAGCTGATCTAATTTAGGAAGACTCATCTATGAACACAAAATATGAAGGAGCAATAGGATGATGATGAAGTGAAGGACGTAATTTTTTCATAGTTGTATTAAAATGTAAGTTTTCCTTTTATGCAAAATACAACAGAATGTATAATCTAAACTGTTTATTTCACAGAAAATGGAATGGTGAAATTAGATGACTTTATAAGTGCACTCTCCAAGGAGCAAAGTCTTCCTGAATGTGATGGTAGGTAGAAAATTTAAAATGATTTGGAGGAAATAGCAGTTAGGTTGAGAAGAATTAGGTTTAACTGAATTGAGTTTGCATTTTTGGATAGATACTTACTACAAAACACTTAGACAAATCATTTGCCAGATTTTTAAAAACTTGCTGGATCAGGGTAATAATATCTAACTGCTTACCTCACAGAATTGTTATGTCGATTTTACAAAGTGAAAAGTGCTACATAAATGTACAGTAATAGTAATGAAAATGAGGTCAAATAGGTTAATTAACCCCATTATTGACAATTGATAGATTATCTGATTTTTTAAAAAATATTTTATTGGGGAATTGGGGAAGGGGAACATTGTGTTTTTCCAGGACCCATCAGCTCTAAGTCAAGTTTTAGTCCTTCAATCTTAGTTGTGGAGAGCACAAGCTCAGCTCCAAGTCCAGTCACCACTTTCAGTCTAGTTATGGGGAAGGGGGCAGGAGGCATGATCCACCATCCCACGCAGGAGTCGAACCGGCAACCTTGTTGTTACGAGCACACGCTCTCACCAGCTCAGTGGCAGCTCAGCTTGGTCGCAGTTCACTGGCCCATGTGAGAATCGAACTGGTGACTCTGTTGCTCAGAGCTCACACTCTAACCAACTGAACCACTCAGCCAGCCCGATTATTTGATTTTTTTTTTAAAGATTTTATTGGGGAATTGGGAGAGGGGAACAGACAAGTTGCCATTGTTTAGCTCCTCAGTCCAGTTGTGGAGCACGTTGCCTCACTGGCCCAAGCTGGCACCATCACTGCGCTCCTCCTGGGCGAGGCAGATCAGTCGCTGGCCTCCGGACGGCCGCTCACAGCGGCTGCTGGCTGCTCACACTGGCTGCCGGCTACACATGGTAGCTCATGGCAGCCCATTGCAGCAGGGGCTGCAGCCTATGCTGTCACCGGCGACCCACAGCAGCCCAGCCCCAGGTCGAGCCGCCGTTCAGCATCCCAGCTGCAGAGGGAAGCATCACTGGTCCTCATATGTGGGATTCGAACCAGGGCCCTCTGGCATCCCAAGCCAGTTCTTAACCAACATGCCACTCGGCTGGCCCCCGATGATTTGATTTTTAATTTTTAAATAAGAAACTTGTTTGAATGAAATAGCAGTTTGGTTTCCCTTTGTTTTAGAACATTTAAAAAAATAGCTCTATTAGAGCGCAATGATGGTGCCAACTTGGGCCAGTGAAGCGACATCCTCCACAACTAGACTGAAGAACAAAACGACAGCAACTTGTCTGTTTCCCTTCCCCCAGATCCCCAGCACTGTTCCCATCCCCCCAATTCCCCAATAAAAATCTTTTTAAAAAAATAGCTCTATTGAGGTATAATTTACACACATAAAATTCACCCATGCACTGCTTTTTATTAAATTTATAGAGTCATACATCCATCACCACAGTCCAGTTTGTTGCTTGCAATGATTTTGTTTTTTATACAAATAATTAAATATCTTTCAGCAAGATTAAATCAAGAAATGAAAGTGATTAAGGCTTGTTTGATTTTATTTCCTCATGTCTATTTATATACTGAAAAAGAAAGATCTTAAATTTTTTGTTTCTTCTGAAAAGATTTCTCAAATAAGGAAAACTTAATCCAAAAGAAGAGACTTCCTTTTTATACCTAGGCGAAAAGTCTCCTGTTAAAAGCTACTTTTTTGGGGGCCGGCCGAGTGACGCGATGGTTAAGAACTCGCTTGGGACACCAGAGGGCCCCGGTTCGGATCCCACATATGAGGGCCAGTGACACTGCCCTCTACAGCTAAGATGCTGAACAACAGCTCAACCTGGAGCTGGGCTGCCTTGAGTCACCGGCGACGGCGTAGGCTGCACTCCCTGTGGCAGTGGGTTGCCATGGGCTACCGTATGTAGCCAGCAGCCAGCATGAGCGGCCAGCAGCCAGCGTGAGCGGCCAGCAGCCGCAGTGAGCGGCCGTCCAGAAGCCGGCGACTGATCTGCCTCGCCAGGGAAGAGCGCAATGATGGTGCCAACTTGGGCCAGTGAAGCAATGTCCTCCACAACTAGACTGAAGAACAAAATGACAGCAACTTGTCTGTTCCCCTTCCCCCAATTCCCCAGCACTGTTCCCATCCCCCAATTCCCCAATAAAAATCTTTAAAAAAAAAAAAAAAGCTACTTTTTTTTTTCATTTCCACTGAATTAGAGTGCTTAAGTGCCTGGATTTCTTGAAGACACTATAAGCAAATAAATTTCTTTCTCTTTTTTTTTTTTAAGATTTTATTGGGGAATTGGGGAAGGGGAACATTCTGTTTTTCCAGGACCCATTAGCTCAAAATCAAGTTGTTGTCCTTCAGTCTTAGTTGTGGAGGGCGCAGCTCAGCTCCAAGTCCAGTTGCTGCTTTCAGTCTAGTTGTGGGTGGCGGGCGGGGGGGCGGGGGGGGCTGTAGTCCACCATCCCATTCGGGTGTCAAACTGGCAACCTTGCTGCTAAGAGCACATGCTCTCATCAGCTGAGCCATCCAGCCGCCTGTCGGTAGCTCAGTTCAGGCGCAGCCCACTGGCACATGTGGGAATCAAACATGCTCAGAGCTCACACTCTTAACCAACTGCACCACCCGGCTGGCCTGCAAATAGATTTCTTGAATGTTTCACTATATAATCATTCATTCACTAACTCAGCATTCTTTCATTGCTGTTTTGTGAAGTAGTAAGTGTCTTGGTCACAGCTGACTCTTCTGCATTATTTTCCCATTATACTATTTTTAAATTTATTTTTAATTGTGGCAACTAACACATAATATAAAATTTACCATCTTAACCATTTCTAAGTGTAAAGTTCAGTAATGTTAGTGTTAAGTATATTCATATTGTTGTGCAACCAACCTCCAGAACTTTTTCGTCTTGCAAAACTGGAACTCTATACTAATTAAAAACAGCTACCCATCCTTGCTTCTCCAGCTTCTAGCAACCATCATTCTGCTTTCCATTTCTGTGAATTTGTTCACTCTGGATACCCGAGTAGAATCATATAGTATTTGTCTCTTTGTGACTGGCTTATTTTATTTATCATAATGCCCTCAAGATTCATCCATGTTGTAGCATGTGTCAGAATTTCCTTCCATTTTCATGTTAAATAATATTCCATTGTACAAGTATGTATATATCAAATTTTGGTTATCCATAGACACTTGTGTTGTTTCCACTTCTTAGCTATTGTGAATAGTGCTACTATGAACATGGATGTGAAAATATCTCTTTGAGCACCCGGTTTCAATTTTATTGGATATATACCCAGAAGTAGACACAATCTGGTTTTGTAACTTTTCTATCACTCCTAAAAATTCCCTCATGCTCATTTGCAGTTAATCTCTACCCCCATCATCAGACACCCACTGATCTTTCTGTCTCTATAAATTTGTCTTCTTTTGAACATTTAATATAAATGAAATCATGTAACATGTAGTCTTTTGTGCCTGACTTCCTTCACTTTGCATAATGTTTTTGTGGTTAATTCATGTTGTAGTATGTATCAGTAGTTCATTCCTTTTTATCGCTAAATAAGTCCATATTATATTTTATTAATACTCCATTTTGTTATGAATAATACTGACATTAACATTTGCATACATGTCTTTCTGTGGGCATATGCTTTTATTCTCTTGGGCAGATTCCTAGGAGAATTGCTAGTCGGTATGGAAAAATTATGTTTAGCTTTTTTTTTTTTTAGAAATTTTATTGGGGAACAGTGTGGTTTTCCAGGACTCATCAACTCCAAGTCAAGTAGCTGTCTTCAGTTTAGTTGTGGAGGGCGCAGCTCCGTGGCCCATATGGGAATCGAACCGGCAACCTTGGTGTTATGAGCCTGCACTCTAACTACCTGAGCTAACTGGCCGCCCCATGTTTAGCTTTTTAAGAAATTGCCAGGGCCGGCCGAGTGGCGCGTTGGTTAAGAACTGGCTTGGGACGCCAGAGGGCCCCGGTTTGGATCCCACATATGAGGGCCAGTGACGCTGCCCTCTACAGCTAAGATGCTGAACAACAGCTCAACCTGGAGCTGGGCTGCCGTGAGTCGCCGGTGAGGGCGTAGGCTGCAGCCCCTGCTGCAGTGGGTTGCCATGGGCTACCGTGTGTAGCCAGCAGCCAACATGAGTGGCCAGCAGCCGCTGTGAGCGGCCGTCCAGAAGCCAGCAACTGATCTGCCTCGCCCGGGAAGAGAGCAATGATGGTGCCAACTTGGGCCAGTGAAGCAACGTCCTCCACAACTAGACTGAAGAACGAAAAGACAGCAACTTGTCTGTTCCCCTTCCCCCCATTCCCCAATAAAAAAAATCTTAAAAAAAAAAAAGAAAAAGAAATTGCCAAACTGTTTTCAAAGTGGCTATACCATTTTCATTCTCACCCACAATGTATGAGGGTTCTAGTTTCTTCACATCCTTGTCAACACTTGGTATTATCTTTTTTATTATGATCCTTATAGTAAATGTACAGTGGTGTCTCAGTATGGTTTTAATTTGTCAATTCCTTAATGACTAATAATGTTGAGTATATTTGCACATGCTTACTAGCTATTCATACATCTTTGATGAAATTATGTATTCAAATCCTTTGCCCATTTTTAGAATTTCATTTTGATTTATTTGTAGTGTTTTAGAATGAATCTCTTTGTATAGTTTTTGTGTGTGTGTGGTTGCTCCAGGTATTACATTATATATACATAACTTATCACAGTCCACTGGTGTCATCATTTTACCAGTTTAAATGAAGTATAGAAGCCTACCTGTTTTTATGTCCCTTTACCCTCCTCTGTTTATGATATAATTATCTAAATATTTCCTCTACATATATTTAAAACCACATCAGATAGTAGTATAATTTTTACTTCAACCATCAAACATAATTTAAAAGCTCAAGAGGAGATTTACCCATATTTTGACTTACCATTTTCTTTCTTTCTTCTTGATGTTCTATAGTTTTTTGTTGTATTCTTTGCTTTTTGTTTAAAGAACTTCCTATAGCCATTCATAGGTGTACTGGCAATAAATACTCTTAGTTTTCTTTCATCTGAGAACATCTCGATATCCCCTTCATTCCTGTAGAGTATTTTTTTCTGAGTATGGGATTTTGTGTTGACAGTTTCTTTTTTTTAGCACGTGAAAAATATTGTAATACTTTCTTCTGGTGTTTATGGTTTTGTGTGGAAATCCTCTCATGCAATTTGTGTTTTTTTCCAGATAAGTAAGTTGTTTTTCTTTGGCTGCTTTCAAGATTTTTTCATTGTCTTTAGTTTTCAGAATTTTAATTATGATGTGTCTTGAAATGGATTTCTTTGGGGTTATCCTGTTGGAGGTTCACTTATTTTCTTGGATCTGTAGGTTAACATCCCTTGCTAAAAATTTGAGAAATGTTCAGCCATTATCTCTTTGAGTGGGATTGATAGATGAGATAGTTCTTTTTTTAGTTTCTTGAGGAATCTTCATGCTGTTTTCCGTAGTGGCTGTTCCATTCTCAATTTCCACTGAAAGTGTGCAATGGTTCTAGTTTCTCCACATCCTCACCAATACTTGTCTTTTATATACATGGGGTATTACCTCGTTGTGGTTTTGATTTGCATTTCCCTGATTATTGGTGATGAATATTTTTAAATGTTGGCCAATTTGTACTTCTTTTTTGAAGAAATATCTATTCAAGTCCTTAGTCATTTAAAAAATAGGGTTACTAGATTTTTTCTTTTTTTTATTATTGAGTTATATGAATTATTTATATATTTTGGAGAGTGACCCCTATTTAGATATATGGTTTGCAAATATTTTCTCCCATTCCATAAGCTGTTCATTTTGCTGATGGTTTCCTTTGCTGTGCAGAAGCTTTTTAGTTTGATGTATTCCCACTTATATACTTTGGTTTTTGTTGCTTATGCTTTTGGTGTCATATCCATGAAATCATTGCCGAGACTAAATGTCATGAAGCTTTTCTCTTTTGTTCTCTTCTAGGAGTGTTACAGTTTCAGGTATCATAAAAGTCTTGAATCCATTTTGAGTTGATTTTTGTGTGTTATGTAAGATAAGGGTCCAGTTTCATTCTTTTGCATGTGAACGTATCTAGTTCTCCCCACATCATTGCTGCTACTGAGAAACAGACTAGGGAATTATAACTGCTAGAGAATTAAATGTGGAAATTGTGTAATATTTCTGTTCTAATGTATTTTTAGTTGGGGTATTGTCAGGGCAATTAAATTGGCACTTCCTTAGATAAAGAGACTGTAGCAAAATAGAATATATTTTTTACTCCGATTTTGTAACTTAACTGATTTTCAGTATTATTAAAGATTCTGGTAATGCTTTTACATATAACATTTCTGAAGTTTTAAATATTTTAATTTAATGTTAGAATTAAAATTTATCTTACTATTAATATTTTCCTTTTGACTTTATTTAATACTGACTAGCATACTACTTTATTTTCAGTGTTATTCAATGTCATTAAAGCCATTGATAAAATTAAAGATGAAAATATTGATTATGAAGATCTGAATACTTGTCTTCAAAATTTTGGAGTTTACCTTTCTAAGGCAGAATTTGAGAACATCATCAAGTTGACTGAAGGTCATGGTAAGTGATATATTTTCAGGAAAACTGGATTGACACATCTGAAAAGAGGGTCAGTTTGCTATTTTTTCCCTTAGAATAATGACTTTATTATTTTCCATTAAAATTAAGCCAGTACAGAAATGAACAAAAGTACTCAAAAGTACAGCAAAACACTCAAAATCCTATTATCCAGAAAAGACTATTAATATATAATAGTCTTACCAGACATTTTTTTCCTAGGCAAAAGTGCAAACAAAAAGGAAGTAGGATTTGTGATTTTGCTCTCTGACAAGGTAGAAGTCAGGACAAAAGACATTAAATGGAGCAAAGAAGGACTCTTTATTACGCCAAAGCCCACAATCCATAATAAAGGTACTAGTTTTGAGTATCTGTGCTCCTTTAACTTAGCAGCAACTTTCATAAAGGGAACGTGTGGGAATAGAGTGAAAAAAGCAAGTTTCAGATTGCTATAGCATGATAACATTTTCATAGAGTTTGAAAACAAAATTAAGGAATAATTTATTTATCCTGTTTAAAATTATATGTAAAGAAGCAAAAGATTGGCAAATTCAGTAACGGGCTTTCTGTGGAGGAAGCAGAAGAATGGAGTGGGACAAGCACAACAGCAGATGCAGTGGGGTTAATGTTTCTCAATTGGGTGGTAGGGTCACAGTGGTTTGATTTATTATCATGCTTCATAACTAATATATGTTGCAAATATTCTTTCTGTGTATCAAATATACATTATCAAAAATAAGGGAGTTTATTACTTTAAAAACTCACATGTTCCTCTTAGGCAATGTAAATCATAAATCACTAACTCTAACATTGGCCTAGAATTTTTCAAGGTCTCTTTTTTTTTTTAACTCTCCAAAAATTTGGCTAAGAATACAAAGTGACTTGGGGCTCCTTGAAGTAAACTGCTCAAAGTTTCTTGAGAAAAGGGAATAGGGCTGTTCCTTATCTTCTACAGTCCATTAGAATTTTTTTTTTTTCCTCAGTGGGGTAAGCAAAGGACTAGGGTTATCAAAAGCTCATCATATCTATATAAAACCTTTATATGTGGCCTTAGAAAATTCTTAGAAACTTTTTTATCCATTCTAACATTGGCGTATTATGAGGAATTACATATAATCAAGGAAAGACATTTTCTGGGTATAAAATGACAATTAAAATATTCAATGGTTTTGCTAGTATACTGGAGTAAAGAGATCAGTGTGAATGGTAGCCCAATGTGGAAAAAACTAGGAATCAAGATCTTGCTTCTAATCTCTGATCTTGTATTTCCTTTTGTGACCTTGGAAAAAAAATCACCATATCATGTATAAGTGTTTTTTCTTAAATATGTAAAGTAACACTAATTCTTCACCTGCATATCTTACTGAATTGTTGGAAGGCCAAGAGAAGGTAATGTAAGTTAAAAGTTAAAAATGTTGTATACTTAACAGGGTCAAATATATGGTGATGGAAGGAGAACTGACTCTGGGTGGTGAACACACAATGTGATATATAGATGATGTATTATAGAATTGTACACCTGAAAACTATGTAATTTTACTAACCATTGTCACCCCAATAAATTCTAATTTTAAAAAAATGTCGTTCACTTGTGAATAAAAGGGCTTTGATTAATTTTCCTGGTGTTTTTCAGTGTGTACTTTTTGCATGTAAATTGAATGTCTTTCCCTTTATACCCATATATTTTTAATGGTATTAACTGATGGATATAATTATAAATGTACAATTTATTTACATAATTCAATATTTGTCATAATAATTTAATACTTGAAGATACTGAAGAAACTATTTTTTTCCCCTTTAGAAACAAAGCAAGTGAATTTTAAAGAATTCATTGATACTATGTTGAGGAACAAAGAACGCTTCTCCGAAAAATTATGTATGTAAAAACATCGTATCTTGTGCTTTTTGTGGGTCAAGTGGTTTGACAAATTTTAGAAGAATATAATATATTAAAAGAGCTAGTCATCTTACAGGTCATTGGGCAAATAAATGCCTGGCTTACTACTGATACGTTTGGCGTTAATCTTCTCTATTACTGATCCCTAAGTCTAGAACACCTTTCACATGCAAATAAATGCAAAGCTATCTTAATCTTACTTTTCATCCTTACATTTATTACAGACAGCGAGAACCATGTATATGAAATTCATTTGGGTGAAGATTTAAAATGTCTTCCCACTTTGGGCAGGTGATGCCATCTAGTGACTATTGCTGAGTTTAAATATGCAGAATTTCTGGTTTTAGCTGTTGGTATATTTTCCCATCTTCCAATTTATTCAGTAACATTTATTGAGCCATCACTATGTACCAGACTTTATGTTAAGCTGTGAATTGACTAAGATGAAAAAGACAGTCTCTGCCAGTAAGAAGCTCACCATAAAGAAATGTAAAGTCATATATGTATATTTTAAATGGAGTGAAGTTAGTACTTTAAAAATTGGGGCTAAAGTAGCATTGTGTTATTTGGTATTGACATATTGGTTAATGATGTATTTTAAGTAACAGCTATTTCACCTTATAATATACGTCAATTTAATGTGTCTCCTATACAAGGGAACATACTAAATTAATTGGATGAAGAGATTACTTGCGTTGTCACTTCATTTTTCCTAGAAATTTCAATTTTATGGAGATAAAAAAAACATTAACACAGAGTTGTATATTATCTTACTCATATCTATAATTATATTTCCTTTCTCATTCTTAGTAGTGCATATTTATGTTTACTTTTTTCCTTTTTTCTTCATCTGGCTGCTCATTTCTTCATCAGACCACCTATTGGTTTTATATACCTCATTAAGACCTTCCACCCATTTACCCCTTTACTTTGTCTTTAGCTACCAGAATCCTCCTGTTTTCATTTTTCCTCCTTATCCAGTTTAAATTCTCTGATCTATTTATCTCTACTACCCTAAACTTCTTTGCCCCTCTGTACTTTCGTTGCACCTATCTGGCAAAACTCCCAGCCCTGAATGAACCCCATTATCTGTCTTTTCCTTGGCTGACAGCATTTTTGGAGAAAATTATACAGCCGAGCAGATTGAACAGAGTATCAGTAAGAAATTTTGATTCAAGTCTGCTGGCCCTCAACACCACCTAGGAACTTCGTGATGTTTATTTCCCCAGTTAGCTTATTCTCTCACTCCCTGAAACAGATATTTAAAATCTGCATTTTTTCAAACTTCCATTTCTACCCCAACCTCTACCTTTCTCACATTTAGCAGATAACTTTGCCTTTATAGAGAAAAGAGAAGCCTGTCTCTACTTTGAGGACATTAAGTTATTTCCCAATATTTTTTCTAAAAGTTTTAAAGTTTTTCTTTTCATATTTAAGTCTTCAATTCACCTAGAATTGATTTTTATATATGGAATGAAGTTGTGATCCAATTTATTGCCCCCCTCCCCAAACTCCTCCCCCCCACACACACACACAAAGATAATTAGCTGAGACAGTTTTATGTTAATTCTTTGTTTGGGATTTGTTAGGTCATGGGAAAGTCATGATGTATTTTTCTATGTTTTCAATGCAAAAACTCGTCATAACTTTCCCGACGACCCAATATATATTATGTAAACTGTTTGGCACTCACACAGGATAGCCTTGGCACTCACACAGGATAGCCTTGGGGTTTAGATTATCATTGGAGATATTTTTTTCTCCATCCAGATCTCAGAGAACAAGCTTTCTTCTTGAATTCCTAAAATGGTTACCAAAGTGTTTTTAGTCATAATTTTTAGATGGGAAGACTTTCCAGGGTCTTGGCTTTAAGCAGGCATCTTAATTGTAACCTTAGACTTGTATGTACCGCATAATAATAATTACTATTATTATTACTACTCACATTTATTGAGTGCTTACTATGTGCCAGTACTATTCCAAATAATTTTTGTTTAACTCATTTAATTCTCATATTAATTCTATTGGGTTGTCAGAAAAGTCGTGATGCATTTTTGCAACGGAAAACATAAAAAAAATATATCATGACTTTTCCGACAACCCAATATTATTATATTTATTTTACAAATGAGAAAACCAAGGGACAGAGGTTAAAAAAAATCACATAGCTAGTATGTGATAGAGTTAAGGTTATACCGCTAATATAAGGATAAGGTAGAGCATATCCTCTTAACATTTACATTGTGCCATCTGACTGCTACGGCATCTGCTCAGGCACACACATGGTTAATATCTCTTCCTCATTTCCAGCATCCGGTGAGTTCCCTTTCTTTTGAGTTTGGCATCCAATTGTTTAGGCCCCAAAATTAGGAGTCATTCTTAATCCCCATTACCCCCCCCCCCTTATTGCCCTAGCTCCACTGCTCCTACTCCTGTCATTCAATCCAGTATCAAATGTTTTTGTTGGTATTTTAAATTTAGTATAGAATATATTTTGTGTTGGAGGTTGAAGGGGAATCTAGCTACTCTAAGTCTACTGTATTATCAGTTCTCTCTTTAGAAACACTCATTTGGGATTTTGACCTTGCTACTCCATACTAGCATCTTACAAAAAGCTAAATCTCATCTTGCTAAATCCAATGGTCAAGTTTCTGTCTTCATTTTGTTTACCTCTAGCAGTATTTTTCTTGAAAATTTCTCTTCTCGTGTTTTCTGTGACACTATAATCTCCTAATTTCCCTCCCACCTTATTGGCTCTTCCTTTTTTAAAAAATTGAGATATAATTGACATGTATGACATTGTGTAAGTTTAAGGTGTACAACCTGTTGATTTGATATGCTTATGTATTGCAATGTGATTACCACCATAGTGTCAACAACACCTCTATCACATTGCATAATTATCGTTACTTTTTTGTGGTGGGAACATTTAAATTTTAGTCTCTTAGCAACTTTCAAGTATATAATACAGTATTGCTAAGTATAATCACAATGCTGTGCATTAGGTCCGCAGAACTTCCTCATCTTCTAATTGCAAGTTAGTCCAACACCTGCCCAGTTCCTCCACCCTGCGGCCCCTGGTAACTACCATTCTGTTCTTGTGAGTTCTGCTGTTTTAGATTCCACATATCAGTGAGAACTTACAGTATTTGTCTTTCTCTGTCTGACTTATCTCACTTAGCATAATGTCCTCAAGGTCGATCCATCTTGTTGCAAATGGCAGGGTTTTCTTTTTTCTCAAGGCTGAATAATATTCCACTGCATATATGGCCCTTTCTTGTTGGCATTGTTTGCTGACTGTTTCCTTTTTGGCTGACTTTTAAACATTAGCTTGATGCCAGACTCCGTTCTGAGTCCCACCCATTCTCTAAGGCGCTTCCTGAGTGATGTTACTGCTTTCAATAATATCTGCATCCTTTTGACTCCCTGTTTATCTCAGACTTAATGTGTATAGAGAGGACTCTTGGTCTCCAACAAACTTATCCTTTCCCCAGGATTTCTTATCTCAGTTATTGTCATCACTATCCACCTAGTTGCTCAGATCTCAAACTCAGAAGTTCTTCATGGCCCCAGCCCCCATAGCCCCTCATTCAACTCAGCACTAAGTACTATCAGCTTCATTCCCCAAATACATCCTGTGTCTCTCCACTTCTCATTCCTTACATTGCTATCACCCTTGTTGAAGTCACTATCATCTTTTTCTTTGAACTACGACAGTAGGTAGCTCCCTAACTGCCTCACCTTCCAGAGTTCATTCCCTATATAGCAGCAGAGCAATCTTTTACACATGTGTAATAAGATAACTTCATTCTCCTGTTAAAAACTTTCTAAAGTTTCTCTATTGGAATTTTAATAAAAGCAAAACTTTTTTCCATGGTCTGCAGAAATGGGTAGAAGAGAACGTAGGATCCAGGGAAGAATTTCGGGGGGAGACACAGAGCATAGCTATTAATCCATGGTTTTATCGGTTGGGCATGCTTGTGAATTCAGACTTTTGTAAATCTCTAGTACAAGGAAAATTATTCTTTATAATGATTGTTCAAGGTTGGGGTTACTGTAAGTTCTTGAAATATTTCAAAATCTTCAAAGATACACTAAATTTGGTGTTAAATACTTTATTGTTTTAATATTTGAAAATTGGCGATTCATTTATGCTATTTTTCTTAATCATACAAACCCCAATTCCTGACTATTCCAGATAATAGTTTACTGTATTAACTTCTTGGGCAAGCATGTTATAAAACTTGTGTTTTATCTGCCCTTTAGTATCACCTGATACTGTTGAAAACCCCCACGATCTTGGTAAAGAGAAGATGAGTGTTTCTGACCTGTGGAACACTCTGTCTCGTTTGAATAGTAATTTAAAAAAAGACAAATTCCTAGCTGCACTGAAATTAGCAACAATTGATGGTGAGTATCCCAAATACTAAAATTAGAAGATACATAAGAATATGGTTTTATCTTCTATCAATCTTTGTGTGTCTCTGTATCTTGTGTTTGGTGATATGCCAGTATATACATTTAGGAAATGTAAAGAAAGCTCAGATTGTTTGACTGTCCTATAGAAAAAATATTAACATCTAATTTATTATTACTCTAAATTGATCAAATATGCATAGGCTACCTTCAAATTGTGTAACATATTACTGGAAAATGGCGTATCCCAGTGAACACAAGGGGATTACCTGGAAATGTGAAGAAATCTATTCCAGTTTTATATTAACACTGCTTGGGATAATTATACTGTTTTGTTGAAATAGGCTTTTGTTTAATTTGCTAGAAAAAAACACCTAATGGCTACCACCTCTTCTTAACAAATAAAAAAAGATTCAAACAACAAAAAAATAATGTCCTCAGTAGTACTATAAAACAAACACTATAAACTAAAATTTTTTAAATAAGACTCCATCGTTTACTTGGCCACAGATGGACATTTCCACTCCCTCATATTCTTTTTTTTTTTTTAATTATACTGGGGAATTGGGGAAGGGCAACAGCGCTGAGGAGTTGGGGAAAGGGAACAGCCAAGTTGTGGTCCTTCAATCTTAGTTGTGGAGGGTGCAGCTAGCTCAGCTCCAAGTCCAGTCACCATTGGGATGACCGCCAGTGGCTCACGGCCGCTCAGTTCAAGGTGCCGTGTTCAATCTTAGTTGCTGGTGGGCATAGCCACCATCCCATGCGGGAGTCAAACCAGCAACCTTGTTGTTAGGAACACATGCTCTCACCAGCTGAGCCATCCTGCCACCTGTTGGCAGCTCAGTGGCAGCTCAGCTCCGGCACAGCTCATTGGCCCAGGTGGGATTCGAACCAGTGACCCTGTTGCTCAGAGCTCGCGCTCTTAACCAACTGAGCCATTCGGCCGACCCCCTCATATTCTTAGTACTTTGAAGTTACAAATGTACTTTGGCACTCTTTTATGTGGAATGTTTATACAGAGCTAGCTGAGTAACATGAGCACGCTGTTTAGGGTCTTTGGCAAACAACTGTTATTCTCTATAAGCATTACTTACCCCCTTTTCTTCACTAAGCTCCTGTGTAACTGAGGCTGATAATTTTGGATTTTAAGTGTGTTGATTGTTTTATTTCTCAGGATGTTTGAGGTGAGAAGCATTGATGAAAACAAAAGTATATGTACTACCTGATAATAGGGAATTTCCCTCTCTCTTTTCCTCTGTGGAAAAGCTTGTTTCTTTTGATAAAGTGAACGGGAATTGTAGGCAACATGTACCAGAGAAAGTATTATATAGCATTTATTTTAGTCAGACCAATAAAGTATTATTTTATGAACTATAAAAATAACTCAGCTATCTATAAAATTACTTATTGTGATAATAAAACTCCATATATTGTCTCTTATCCATTACTATATACTTATGAAGCACAAACACCATGTAAAAAATGTAGATTATTTTGCCACCTAAATCCAAATATATACATGATATTGAAAACTATATGTGCACCCTATCTGTCATACCATTTCTTTTAACATTGAACCTTCAGTACAAAGTGACTTAGTTCTTATTTTAATGCAGTGGTTTGCAAAGTTTTGAAATTTATTTTTGTTTTTTGTTTATATTTGCTGTTGTTAAAGCAGTTTTTCTTTAGCTTTTTCTTCCAAATGAACTCTTACAGAGTACCCCAATATATAAAACATAAAAGTTGAGCTTCTCTCACCAAAGTGAGGGAAATGACCAAGTGAACTGCCAAAGCATCTCAACAGAGCCTTAGAAATATGAGAAAGAATTTAAAAATTACTGACCAGGGTATGTTAAAGAGGAAAAAGACCCCAAAACTGATTTAGGTTTCCTCTCACTAGTGAGACTAAAGAATTACTTCTTGGTTATGGGTGGTATTCCATATTGACTCATTAATATTTTTAAATATATTTTAAAATTTTTAAATGTATAATGGTTCAAAAAGGCATTGAAAAATAGAAAAGATATTTATCATTTGACAAATTCAAAAATGCTCCCCAAGTATCTAGCTATATAACTTTTGACTTCTGTAATTGCAAGAGGTGTTCAAAGTGGTTACCATCAGCATCCAGACACTTCTGATTACGGCGAACTACTGCTTGAGCAAGGTTAACCAAGGTGTCCACTTGTATGCGTTTTTCTGGATGTGTGTGTGTGTGTATGGAGAGAGAGAGAGAGTCAAAAAAATGTAAACACATTTTAAGAAAGGAAAAAAATATATTAAAATTGTAATACTCAATATATACCAATAAGAAAAGGTGAATACAAGTCAGGTGTATACATTTTTTTGGCACCCCTGATGTGTGTGTGTGTGTGTGTGTGTGTGTGTGTGTGTGTGTGTGTGTGTGTGTAACATTTTCTTTATCCATTCATCCACTGAAGGACATCCGGACAATTGTGAATAATGCTGCAGTGATAGCTCTTTGAGATACTGATTTCATTTCCTCCAGATACATACCCACGAGTGGGATTGCTAGATCATATGGTAATTCTATTTTTAATTTTTTGAGGAACCACCAAACTGTTTTACATGAGGCTACAAAATAACTTACATTCCCACCAACAATGTATAAGGGTTCCCTTTTCTCCACATCCTCACCAACATTTGTTATCTCTTGTCTTTTTGATAATAGCCATCTTAACAGGTGTGAAATGATATCTCCTTGAGGTTTTTGATTTGCATTTCACTGATGACTAGTGATGTTGAGCAGCTTTCCGTATACCTAGTGGCCATTGTAGCTGTATAGTTTAAACCCTAGGCAGGCTTTTACTTGCTGGTGATGCACCTTGCCAGCTGAACTGTAATCTAGCCTGTGATTATAACCTACAATCGTTCTAAATCCTTGGACTAAGTCTCCCTGTTCCTCATTAGACTGGGAAAACAAAGCTGCCTATTGCCTGTGTCTGCCACTTTGACTTTGTAATCTAGTACTTGTGTGTTCTTGCGTAAAAAATGGGTATAGGCCGGCCGAGTGGCGCATTGGTTAAGAATTGGCTTGGGATGCCAGCTCTGAGCAGCAGGGCCCCGGTTCGGATCCCATATGGGGGCCAGTGACACTGGTGAACAACAGCTCGACCTGGAGCTGGGCTGCCGTGAGTCACCGGCTACAGCGTAGGCTGCAGCCTCTGCTGCAGTGAGCTGCCGTGAGCTACCGTGCGTGGCTGGCAGCCCGGCTTGAGCTGCCAAGAGCCGCCGTGAGCGGCCTTCCAGAGGCCAGCGACCAATCTGCCTCACCCGGGAAGAGCGCAATGATCACAATTACCAACATGGGCCAGTGAAGCGACATTCTCCACAACTAGACTGAAGAACAAAAGGACAGCATCTTGTCTGTTCTCCTTCCCTGATTCCCCAGCGCTGTACCCCTCCCCCAATTCCCCAATAAAATCTTTAAAAAAAAATGGGTATAAACATGTGTCAGAAATTATAGTTATAGAACCATCTGGTGTTGGAAAAAGTCTTTAAAGTTATCTGGTATAGTATTTTTATCTTCAAACATTTGAAACAAGTTTATTTCTTAGTTTTTTCTATAGAAATGTGGATTGTATAGTTTCTCTTGATTGATGGAAATTGAAAACTCAGCCTGACTTCAATAATCTTAACATTTATTCACTTCATAAAATCAATCTTTTGGCTACACAACAATTGTAAAGGAAATATGATTCTTATGAGCACATCAAATGACTTACTTTTTTATAGATTGCTTTATTGGATCCTGACTTAGTGAACCTGATCTATTAAAAATGTTTTTCTTGGGGGCCGGCCGAGTGGCGCGATGGTTAAGAACTGGCTTGGGACACCAGAGGTCCCCGGTTCGGATCCCACATATGAGGGCCAGTGACACTGCCCTCCACAGCTAAGATGCTGAACAACAGCTCAACCTGGAGCTGGGCTGCCGTGAGTCGCTGGCGACGGCGTAGGCTGCAGCCCCTGTGGCAGTGGGTTGCCATGGGCTACCGTGTGTAGCCAGCAGCCAGCGTGAGCGGCCAGCAGCCGCAGTGAGCGGCCGTCCAGAGGCCGGCGACTGATCTGCCTCGCCCAGGAAGAGCGCAATGATGGTGCCAACTTGGGCCAGTGAAGCAACGTCCTCCACAACTAGACTGAAGAACAAAAACGACAGCAACTTGTCTGTTCCCCTTCCCCCAATTCCCCAGCACTGTTCCCATCCCCCCAGTTCCCCAATAAAAATCTTTAAAAAAAAAATGTTTTTCTTGGGCTGACCGAGTGGCTCAGTTAGTTAAGTGTTAGCTTAAGAGTGCGAGCTCTGAGCAACATGGCTGCTGGTTCAATTCCCACATGGGCCAGTGACGCTGTGCCCAAGCTGAGCTGCCGCTGAGCTGCCAACAGGTGGCAGGATGGCTCAGCGGGTGAGAGCACATGCTCCTAACAACAAGACTGCCTGTTCGATGGTGGGCTACGCCCGCCTGCAACTAAGACTGAACTCAGCACCTTGAGCTGAGCTGCCACCAGGATGGCTCAGTGGATAGGGTGTGCGCTGTTAACAACAGGGCTCCCGGTTTGACTCCCGCATGGGATGGTGGCTACGCCCACTCACAACTAAGATTGTAACACAGCACCTTGAGCTTAGAGACCACGAGCTGCTGACAGGCAGCCAGATGGCGACTGTTGCCCTCCACAAGATTGAAGAACAACAACTTGGCTGGTCCCCCTCCCCAATTCTTCAATATTGTTCCCCTCCCCCAATTCCCCAATTTTTTAAAAAATGTTTTTCTTGCAGAAGATGACAAAGTACAAATTGAAGAATTTGCAAAAGCAGTAAAGGATATGCATGATGCCTCTATGTTAGAAGGTAAGTGCTGCATTATTTGTGACTGTTAAATTTACTTTTATTTAACGGATGTCTTTTCATTTTGTTTTTTAGTGTTTCTGGTTAACATATTGGTATTAATCTGTTTATAGGCAGGCAAAAAATTTGGTTTTGATTAAAAGTTGGCAGCTTCTATAATGAAAGAAAAAAGACTTTTTCTAGAAAGGAGTCTGTTTAAAGCTATTTTTAATCTCTTTTTTGTTTCTGGGGCCTTACAGAAAGTGAGCTATAGGCTTTTAAATTTTTCCTGATATAACTATTCTCTACATCATTTTAAGCCTCAAACTTAGGACTCCATCCCATATATAGACTTCAATATTATAGAATTTCTCACATATTTTCTGCTGCTTCCTTCCGTAGATATTCCTCATATTCCTTTCTTTAGTTTTTGTTAAATATAAGAGTTGCCATGTGCATCTTGGTAGCCTAGGTTTTCTATTATTTGACTTCCATTTTTGTTTAAATGTTAAAAACATAAGACTAAAACCAATGAAGATAGTACTTTTGGGGTTTGTGTACTTTTTTTGTTTGGAGAACATGTTTAAAACTTAGCATCACTGACCATTTCAGAATGTTCTCTCCATTACTAACTGGTAAGGTTATTTCACTATGCCTAAACAATTTGTTGGAGAATATGGAGGGATCTAGAGAATAGGCATGCTGTGAATCAAGTTCTATGCTTTCCTTCAACATATACACATACGAGGTTTTTTTTTTATGTGTCAATTACAGTTGCCATTTGATTTTATATTAGTTTCAGGTGTACAGCATAGTGGTAGACACTTACATGACTTACCAAGCAATCCCCCCATAAGTCTAATACCCACTTGCCACAGTTCATAGTTATAATATTATTGACTGTATAGCCCCATGACTATTTTGTAACTGCCAATTTATACTTCTTAAGCCCTTCATGTTTTTCACCTACCCCCCAACCTTCTTCCCATCTGGCAACCATCAGTTTCTTCTCTGTATCTATGAGTTCTGTTTCTGTTTTGTTTGTTCATTTATTTTGTTGTTTAGATTCCATATATAAGTGAAATCATATGGTATTTGTCTTTCTCTGTCTGGCTTATTTCACTCAGCATGATACCCTCTAGGTCCATCCACGTTGTTGCAAATGGTAAGATTTCATTCCTTTTTGTGGCCAAGTAATATTCAATTGTATATGTACCACATCTTCTTTATCCAATCATCTATTGATGGGCATTTAGGTTGCTTCCATATCTTGGTTATTGTAAATAATGCTGCAATGAACATAGGGATGCTTATATCTCTTCAATTTAGTGTTATGGATTTCTTTGAATAAATACCCAGAAGTGGAATTGCTGGGTCATAAGGTAGTTCTATTTTTAATTTTTTGAGGACCCTCCATACTGTTTTCCATAGTGGCTGTGCAAATTTGCAATTTTACCAACAGTGCACAAGGGTTGCCTTTTCTCCACATCCTCACCAACAGTTTGTTGATTTATTGATGATAGCCATTCTGACAGGAGTGAGGTGATATCTCATTGTGGTTTAATTTTCATTTCTCTGATGATTAGTGATGAGCACCTTTTCATGAGTTTGTTGGCCATCTGTATGTCCTCTTTGGGGAAGTGTCTATTCAGGTCCTCTGCCCACTTCTTTTCTTTCTTTTTTTTTTCTTTTGATGTTAAGTTGCATGAGTTCTTTATAAATTTTACATATTAACCTCTTATGGGGTGTATCATTGACAAACATCTTCTCCCATTCGGTAGGTTGTCTTTTCATTTTGTTAGTGGTTTCCTTTGCTGTGCAAAAACTTTTTAGTTTGATGTAGTCCCATTTGTTTAGTTTTTCTTTTGTTTCCCTTGTCTGAGGAGATATAGCCAAAAAAAATATTACTAAGAACAATGTCAGAGTGTTGTCACATGCTGCCTATGATTTCTTCTGGGAGTTTAATGGTTTTAGGTCTTACTATTTAAGTCTTTAATACATTTTGAGTTTATTCTTGTATATGGTGTAAGAAACTGGTCTAGTTTCATTTTTTTAACATGTATCCATACAGTTTTCCCAACACTATTTATTAAAGAGATTGTCTTTACCCCATTGTATATTCTTGCCTCCTTTGTTATTGATTAGTTGACCATGTAGGTGTGGGTTTATTTCTGGGCTTTCTATTCTGTTCCAATGAGCTTTGTGTCTGTTTTTATGCCAGCACCATGCTGTTTTGATTACAATAGCCTTGTAATATAGTTTGATATCAGGTAGCATGATACCTCCAACTTTGTGCTTCTTTCTCAACATTGCTTTCACTTTTGTGGTTCCATATAAATTTTAAGATTATTTATTTAAGTTCTGTGAAAAATGCCTTTGGTGTTTTGATAAGGATTGCATTGAATCTATAGATTGCTTTGGGTAGTGTGGACATTTTAATGTTAATTATTTCTATCCATGAGCATAGTATATGCTTTTATTTATTTGTATCTTCTTTAACTTCTTTCTTCAATGTCTTATAATTTTCTGAGTACAAGTTTTTTACCTTCTTGGTTAAATTAATTCATAGGTATTTTATTATTTTTTTATGCAGTTATAAATGAGATTGTTTGCTTAACTTCTCTTTGTGATAGTTTGTTATTGGTGTATAGAAATGCAACTGATTTCTGAATATTTGTATCCTGCTACTTTACTGAATTCATTTATCAATTCTAATAGTTTTTTTGGTGGGATCTTTGGGGTTCTCAATATATAGTGTCATGTCATCCGCAAATAAGACAGTTTTACTTCCTCCTTCCCAATTTGGTTGCCTTTTATTTCTTCTTCTTGTCTGATTGCTGTGGCTAGGACTTCCAATACTATGTTGAATAAAAGTGGTGAATGTGGACATCCTTGTCTTGTTCCTGATCTTAAGGGAAACACTATTAACTTTTCCCCACTGAGTATTACATTGGCTGTGGGTTTATCACATATGGCCTTTTTTTGTGGTGAGGTATGTTCCCTCTATTCCCACTTTGCTGAGAGTTTTTATCATAAATGGATGCCAGATTTTATCAAATGCTTTTTCCTCATCTATTGATATGATTATATGATTTTTATCTGTCATTTTACTTATATGGTGTATCACGTTATTTGGTTTGCAGATATTGAACAAATTTTGCCTCCTTGGAATAAATCCCACTTGATCATAGTGTATGATCTTTTTCAATGTATTGCTGAATTTGGTTGGCTAATATTTTGTTGAGGATTTTTGCATCTATTTTCATCAGGGATATTGGCCTATAATTTCCTTTTTTTTTGGTAATGTCTTTGTTTTGTTTTGGAATCATTGAAATACACATAGTTTTAAGGAATAACGGTCACTGTCTGATCTTGTAGTTGAAGATTTTAGAGGTGGGGCAGGCAATTCTAGGTAATGATGAGGATTAAGGATAGCTATTGGTGTGGATGGCTTTAGAAAGAAAGTGAAGGCTTTTTGAAGTTAAGAGGTCAAGGTGCTCTGAGGCTAGGATTATCCTTATTGTCATTGGATGATAACTAGATAAGGGATTGAGGGAGAATTATGATCAAGGTACCAAAATCATCAGAGAATGTGAAGGAGGGATCATAAAGTAATAGATGATGGTGTCAGGAGGGTGGCATAGTTGAATAACAGGCCTGAACCTCAAAGGGGAAGGATAAGGTTTGATTAAAGTGGAACTAAAATAGCCTGACAACAACAGGAGAAAGCTAAGAGAATGTTGCTCTTCTTCCTGGTCCCATGGTACGTGGAGCATGGGAGGATGGGCCGGTTCCACTCAAGATGGTTGTGCAGGAAACTGTATTTTAAAGGAAATCAAATTTTAGTTAAGAGAAAGAAGCAGAGCTGATACAGGTTTTCAGGTGCTGGCAAAATTCAGGTTGCCATCTAAAGTTGCCTCCTAATGATGTTAGGGTGACAAGAAATGGGGCACTAAGAAACTGTGATTATTTGCAGCTGGTTCCTGTTGGCTTTAATAACAAGAACAACGACAACAACTTTACTTCTATTAATAATATGACATTTATTAAGCCCTTACGATACATCTAACACTGTTTTAAGTGTTTTTCATACATCATCAGATTTAATCTCCACATCAACCTTGTGAGGCGGATATTATTATCATCTCATTTTACATATAAGACTACTGAACTTTGTAGAGGGGTTAAGTGGTAATAATTCGCTCAAGGTCACACAGTTCTAGGTCACAAATCCTGGAGCCAGGATTTGAGTATAGGTGTATCTGGCTAAACACTGCCTTTTTTTTTTTTTAAGATTTTTTTTTAATTGGGGTATTGGGGGGAAGGGAACAGAGCTGGGGAATTGGGGGAAGGTGGACAGACAAGTTGCTGTCCTTTTGTTCTTCAGTCTAGTTGTGGAGGACGTTGCTTCACTGGCCCAAGTTGGCACCATCATTGCGCTCTTCCC